GGCAGCACCGCCCCGTTCATGGTCATGGACACCGACATCTGGTCCAGGGGAATGCCGTCGAACAGGATCTTCATGTCCTCGACGGAATCGATCGCGACGCCGGCCTTGCCGACATCGCCCACCACGCGCGGATGGTCGCTGTCGTAGCCGCGATGGGTCGCCAGATCGAACGCGACCGACAGGCCCTTCTGCCCGGCCTTCAGATTGGCGCGGTAGAAGGCGTTCGACTGCTCCGCCGTGGAAAAGCCCGCATACTGCCGGACCGTCCAGGGCCGCCCGACGTACATCGTCGAACGGGGTCCACGGGTAAAGGGCGCGAAACCGGGCAGGGTTTCGGCGCCCGCGATCCGTTCCAGGTCGGCGGCCGTGTAGAGCGGCTTCACCTCGATACCCTCGGGCGTCGTCCAGCTCAGCCCCTCGAGCGAGTCCCGCTTCAACTCCCTGGCTGCCTGCGCTTGCCAGTCCTGGAGGCTCTTCTTCGGAAAATCCACCATCTTTCAGGTATCCGCCGTCCCGCCGCGCCGGTCGCTTTCGCAGACCACTGTTCATTCCGTCGGATATAACCATGCGGGCGCGTGGGCTGTCCACGCGGCGGCATCGGACCGAAGGATCGGAAACGGCGGGCCCCGGCGCTTTTCCTGGCCGCCGTCGCAGTTGACAGTGTGATCGCTTCACGGTGGCGATGGGGCGAAAAGGTCTCTTCCTTGGCGAGTAAAGCCTTGCCACCCTCGTGTGCGATCACAATGGCGTAGGAAAGGTGAGCATATGTCCGATAGCGGCCGCGACGAGGGTCAAGCCGATGTTTTGCTGGATCGTCAGAAACCCATCCCGACCGGCGGTTTGGTCGTCGTCTTCCATGAAGGTGCCGGTGCAACCGCCCAGATCGGGGCCTTGGAGGCTGGCGGACTGCGGGCCACGTCGTTGTCGGTGGTCGCGGACCTGACTGACTTCATGTCGGCGGAACGCGACGTCTGCGCCGTCTTGACGGATCTGGGCGTCGCCTTCGTTCCCGACTGCGCGCCTGGGCGCGTCGAAGAGCTGACGGGGGTGCTTGGGCGCCAGGATGCGATCGCCGATGCGCGTGCGGAAGTCTATCTCTTCGCTACGGCGCCCTTTCAGGACACCGCAGAGCGCACTTGGGGGCTCGCCGCAACGGGAGCTTTCGAGAGTCGTTTCACCGGCGAGGGGGTCAAGCTGGCGGTCCTCGATACGGGATTGGATCTGCAGCACCCGGACTACAGCGGGCGCAACGTCGTCAGCCGCAGTTTCGTACCGGACGAGCCCGTTGATGACCTGCAGGGCCACGGCACCCATTGCGCGGGCACCGCAGCGGGCCGCTCCGCGGATCCACAGGCATTACGCTATGGCGTGGCGCCACAGGCCGAGCTCTATATCGGCAAGGTGCTGAACAATCGCGGCGCCGGTCGGGAACGGGATATTCTGGCCGGGATGGCCTGGGCCGTCGCCGAGGGCTGCGCGGTGCTCTCCCTGTCCCTCGGCGCGGCCGTCCGCCGGGGGGAGACCTACAACACGCTCTATGAGCGCGAGGCCCAAGCCGCCTTGAGCGCCGGAAGTCTGATCGTGGCCGCGGCCGGCAACGAGAGTTCGCGGGAAGCCGGCTATATCGCGCCCGTCGGGTCGCCGGCCAATGCGCCGTCGATCCTGGCGGTCGCTGCCGTCGACCAGGCGCTGGAGGTGGCCGAGTTCTCAAGCGGAGGCATCAACGGCGACGGTGGCGAGGTCGATCTTGCGGCACCGGGTGTCGGTGTCTTCTCGTCCCTGCCCTTGCCGCGCGCCTATGGTTCGCTGCGCGGCACCAGCATGGCCTGCCCGCATGTGGCCGGCTGTGCCGCGCTGTGGGCGCAGAGCGACCCTGCTTTGCGGGGCCGTGCTCTGTGGGATAAGTTGCTGTCGACCGCGACGCCGCTGTCCGGGTCCGATCGCGACGTCGGTCGGGGGCTGGTGCAGGCGCCGGATTGATCCGCGCCCGCTACTCTCCCTGTCCCGAGCGACAGCCAGCGGCGTCTTGGGCGTGGATAGGGAAGCTCGTGCCCCGCTGGCGGGGTTTATATATCGGAAGCGAGTTCGAATGGCTTGGTGTGCGATAGCGGTGACGGTGGACGCGAAGCACTTGCTCCAGACCGCCGCGATTGGCGCGGAACTCGAAAAGCTGGGTTTTAAGGTGGAGGAGATTCGGCCGGAAATCGGTGCGATCTTCGGCGCCGGCGACAGCGATCTCTTCCCTCAAGCGGCGCGGATTGCCGGCGTGCAGGAGGTGCGTGAAGAAGGGCGCCTTCAGCTCCCGCCGTCAGACAGCGACGTCCCGCAATAGAGAGATACGTCTGACTTTCTCTCGATCACCAGCGGAGAACCGGGAGGCAGGCGGTCGGCGTCAGATCGGCGTCGGCGCAGAGGCGGTCGACGGCCTGCTGCGTCGGCGTCTCGCCCTCCTCGATGCCCAGCGCCTCCGCATGGATGCCGCCGGCGATCAGGATCGGTGCTATGCCGGCGGCCTGCGCGCCGGCGATGTCCGTGCGCAGCGAGTCTCCTAACGCGGCGGTGCGAGCAGACTCCGATAGGCCAAGTTCGGCGAGACAAATCTCGTAGGCTTCGCCGTAAGGCTTGCCGTGATAGCGGACCTCGCCTCCCAGGGTCTCGTACTGCTGCGCCAACAAACCGGCACAGATCTCGCGTTGGCCGCCGCGGATCACCTCCAGATCCGGATTGGCGCAGATCATCGGCAGGCTCAGGCGTGCGCCGGTCTCCAGTTCCTCCGCGTAGTCTTCGAGTTTCGAATCGGTTTCGTGCGCTCCGGTGTTGAGCAGAAAGTCCGCTTCCGAGATCTCCGCCACGAAGTCGTAGTCGAGACCGCTGCGGATGCCCGCGTCTCTTTTCGGCCCGACATGGTAGCAGCGCCGTCCAAGCCTTGCGTGCCAGGGGTCGCGTTTGTCGGCCAGGTGCCGCCAGGCCATCTCGCCCGACGACAGGACAAGGTCGTAGAGGCCGGGAGCGATGCCCAGTTCGTTCATCCTGGCTTCCACCTCTGCGGCGCGGCGCGGCGCGTTGGACAGGACAGCGATCTTGGCGCCTGCGTCGCGCAAATGCCCCAGACAGTCGACCGCCTCGGGGAAGGCCCGCACGCCATCGTGCAGAACGCCCCAGAGATCGCAGATGTAGGCGTCGTAGGCCGCGGCCAGAGGGGCCAGGCCGGCGTGCAGGGGGATCGTCATGGGAAACTTGCTCTTGAGCTTGGAAGGAAGGCGGCGTTCTTGTGCCACAGCCGATGCAATGGGAAAAGCGATCCCTTCCGTTTGGCGGACCCGATGGCGGTTCGCCTCGGCACCCGGGCCGTTCCCGCTGCTTCTAGGCCGCCAGGCGGGCCGGGCGAGGTTCTCCGAAGAGATAGCCCTGGCCGTAGTCGATGCCGAGTTCCAGGAGTTCGACCAGTTGAGCGTCGGTTTCAATGCGCTCGACGATCAGATCGATTTCCGCCTGTGCCAGGCTCCGGCGCAAGGCGGTCACGTGCTGGGGTGACGTATCGAGCAGGGCATCGGCGGAGATCTTGATCAAGCCGACGCGCCGTGCGGCAAGCTTGGCGGCGTCGAACTCGAGATCCTGCACGCCATCGATCGACAGACCAGCGCCGAGTTGCCAGAGACGCTCCAGGTAGTCCTCCGCTTGGGCGTCCAGATCGGCGAAGTCAACTTGAGATATCTCGAAGATGAGACTGGGGGCCAGCTCCAGGTTGGCGTCCAGATAGTCGACGAAGTCGCCGAAAAACTCGGAGTCCTTGAGCGTATTGGGAGAGAGGTTGCAGATGAAACTGACCCGCTCCCCCTTCTTCTGAATACGCCGCACGAGCTGAATACAGCGGAGCAGGAGCATGTTGTCGATGGCAGCCATCAGGCCGGCGCGTTCGGCAACGGTGATATAGGCCTTCGGTAGCAGTGTCCGTCCCTCTGCATCGCGCAGGCGCGAGAAGCATTCGTAGAAGCGGCGACGACGTTGCGGCAAGCTGACGATCGGCTGCAGCACCAGGTCGATGCGGTCGTGCTTGAGCGCTTCCCGAACGGCCGCCAGGGCGCTTTCCGGATCGAGGCCGGCGACCTGTCTATCGCTGTCGCCGCCTCCTGATTCGACTTGAGGGCTGGAGAGCGTTCTCCGGGGATCCGGCAGGATCGTCGTTTCCGCGGCGGGCCCTTCGAGCTGTGTGGCGACCGACTTCAGAATCCGGACTTCAGCGCGGGCCTCGTTCAGCGCGCGTTCGGGCGGGGCGGCCTGGGTCGCCGAACGCGCCCGCAAGGCATCGATCAGACTCTGAAGTTCGCGCCGGGCCCAGAGCATCTCGCGTTCGTTGTCGCGAAAACTCTCGCGCAGGTCCGTGATCTCGCGCTGCAGCCTTGTGAGGCGCCTGGCCTGCCTCGCGAGCAGAAGGCCGGCGTACAGCAAGACGAACAGGCCGCCGGTCAGCCCGCCGCGCGCGACGGCCTCGGGATCGGGCAGCCACTTCGGTAGAAGGAACCAGAAGGCTCCGGCAAGCGCCATTGGTGCCAGCAGCAGAAGCGGGGGGCGAAGCATGGCGGCCACAGTGAGCCACCAGGGCTTGCACAAGCGTTAACCACGAGCTAGCCAGGTATCCCGAACACCAGATATCGGCAGGACACTGAGGGTCATGAGCCTGACCATCTATCATAATCCCCGCTGCTCGAAGTCTCGCCAGACATTGGCGTTGCTCACCGAGCGCGGCCTCGCGCCCAAGATCGTCGCCTACCTGGAAGCGCCACCGTCCGTCGCGACGCTGCGCGATCTTCTTAAAAAGCTCGGCCTTCGACCGCGTGACCTGCTGCGCACCAGAGAGGCGGCCTACAAGGAGTTGCAGCTTGCCGACCCGGCCAAGAGCGATGGGGATATTCTCGCGGCCATGGCGTCGCACCCGATCCTCATCGAGCGTCCGATCGTGGTGAATGGCGCCAAGGCCGCGCTGGGCCGTCCGCCGGAGCAGGTGCTGGAAATTCTTTAGCGCCTACCCAAAGCGCGCGCGTTCCCGTCCCATAGTTGGAGTCGGGTCTAGATCAGAGGCAGGATCGCTGACGCGACTCCATCTCACGCGATTCCGCTCTGGTCGCGCGGTTTCGCATCGGCGCCGACGGCGTCGGCGACCCGGGCAAAGCCATCGCGTTTCAGCAGGCTGCTGAGCTCCGACTTGATGCGCTCCACCAGACCCGGGCCTTCATAGATCAAGGCCGTGTAGAGCTGAACGAGGCTGGCGCCGGCGCGGATCTTGGCATAGGCCGTCGCGCCGTCCTCCACACCGCCGACTCCGATCAACGGCAGGCGCCCTGCGGTGAGGCTGTACATCTCGGCGAGCAGGTCCGTTGAGGCTTTGAACAGCGGCCTGCCCGAGAGTCCGCCTGTTTCTTCACGCGCCGAATCTTCAAGGTTGTCCGGTCTGGCGAGCGTCGTATTGGAGACGATCAGGCCGTCGAGATTCGCCAGCGCCACGGCTGCAATATCGCGTTTGTCCGCCTCGGTCAGGTCCGGAGCGATCTTTAGGACCAGAGGCGGCGACGGACTCGGCAGCTCCGCCCGCACCGCGGCGATCAGGGCCTCCAGCTCGGCACGACCCTGCAGGGCCCGCAGACCGGGTGTGTTCGGAGAGGAGACGTTGATCACCAGGTAATCCGCGTAGGGCGCCAGCGCACGGGTTCCGGCGGCATAGTCGGCCCGGGCCTCGCCATCCTTGTTCTTACCCAGATTGACGCCCAAGACTCCGCCTTTGCCTCCTTGCCTGGACCTCAGTGGGGTGGCGGCACGGAAGGACTTCAGCCGTGGTTCGGCGCCAGCGATCCCCTCGTTGTTGAAGCCCAGGCGGTTGATCACGGCGTGGGATGCCGGCAGGCGGAAGACGCGTGGGCGCGGATTCCCGGCCTGAGGTCTGGGGGTGATCGAGCCCACCTCCACGAAGCCGAAGCCGAGCCGCAGGAGCGGCGCCATGACCTCTGCATTCTTATCGAAGCCGGCGGAGATCCCGAGCGGGTTCGCGAAGTGCCTGCCCCACACCTCGGTCGCCAGCACCGGGTCGTCGGCACCCGTGCTGCCCGAGAGGAGTCCCGACTTCAGAGCCCAGAGCGTGAGCGCATGGGCACGTTCCGGCGGCAGACGGAACAGCAGGGACCTGAAGCTCTTGTAAAGCGTCATGGTTCGAGCGATGGGAAGAGGTGCCGACCATCGGCACCGAGCGGCAGATCCCGCACGAAGACGACCGCCTCGACCGGCAGCGGCCCGTAGAGGTGCGGGAAAAGCTGTCCGCCGCGCGAGCGCTCCCATTTGAGCGCCGGCCCCAGCGCCTCGGCCGCGACGCCGAGAATCACCAGCCCCTCCTGTCCGGCCCGATGCTTGGCAACGGAGGCCTCGACCTGCTCGCCGGTGGAGAAGTGAATGAAGCCGTCACGGTCGTCGTCGGCCGAACCGCGATAGCGGCCTGACGGCTCGGCAGCATTCCAGGATTGGCGCGTGCAGACATGGAAAATCAATGACATGGAGGATCCGGTCAGGACGGGTTTCGAGGCGGTTCTAAATCAGATTGCGGTTCAATGGAATCGTTTGGAGATCGGAAAGACCTCAATCCGGTTTAGATGAATGAAAGTGATTTGTTCATATTTGGATCGGATTGTATTCATTTACATAAAGATTCATTGGGCTCGTAAGCGATTTTAATTGGCCAGATAGAAATCGCGCCGATAGTAGCTCGGCGTTTGTCCGCGCCTTGTTCGCTTCAGTTTGCAGTTTGGGAGTTGACGGACCATGTCCAGTTCTACTTCGCCTAGGGCCGCCGGCGGACCTCACCTTCGTGTCATCGACGGTGGTCTCAGCAGCGCCGCCGGCTGCCTTGAGCGTCAGGCGCTGCGGTTCGGCGACGGTTCGGCCCAGTCCCCGATGCCGGCTTCCTCCTGCCCCGACGACCTTGCCATCGACCTCGATTCCCTCGCCGGCCTGGCGGAGAACGACCTGGTCGTTCTGAGCCGCCGCGCCGACAGCCCGGCTTTGTCTGCCGCTCTGGAGGCAATTGCCGGATCGAACGGCAGCGATCGCGTGACCGTGCCGAGGGAGCCCGATGCGCTGATGGTCGCGACCGGTGCGGCCGTGGCCGGCGTCGACCGCGCAACGGCCGAACGAATTTATCGTGCCATGGTGCGTTTGGCCGAATAGGGCCTTGCCGGCTGCCCGTCGGTTTTCCGTGAAGTGGCTGCTGCAGAGCTGACTTGCATCTTCTGCAGGCAAAGTCGTCTGGCATCTCCTTGAAATTGGTATGACCAATTTTCACAATGGTCATACCAATTAGGTCGAAGCCGTCCCCATCGGGTCTGGCCTGAAATCGACCGACACCTAGAGAGAAAGCCAGTCGCCATGTTCGAGGATCTCAGTCTCCTGCAAATCGCAAGCCTGATCACCGCCGTTGCCGTCGTTGCTGCCTTCGCGGCAGGGATCGCGGCTGCCGGTCTGACCGATCGCTTCCTGGATCGCCGCTGACGGTGTGCGGCATTGCGTGTGCCGCATCGCCCGCTATGCTGCCGTCTGGCAGCGCGCCGGGCTTGGAGAAGACTCGCCATCCCGCGCGGATCGCAAGGGATTGGAACGAGGATCGTAATGACCGCTTGGCATTTCTTCGACGGGCAGTGGCATGAAGGCAACCCGGCAATCATGGGGCCGATGTCCCATGGCTTCTGGATGGCTTCCACGGTGTTCGACGGCGCGCGCGCCTTCGAGGGCGTCATCCCGGATATGGACCTGCATTGTGGCCGCGTGAATGCCTCCGCCTCCGCTTTCGGCCTCAAGCCCTTGCACACGGAGGGAGAGCTTCTGGAACTGGTTGCCGAGGGGCTGAAGAAGTTTCCGAAGGACGCCGAGCTCTACGTACGGCCAATGTACTGGGCGGAGTCGGGGTTTGTCGCGGCCGATCCGGACTCGACCCGTTTCTGCCTGTCTCTTCACGAATCACCTCTGCCCGAGCCGAAGGGTTTCTCTATCACGCTCAGCCCCTTCCGCCGCCCGACGCTGGAGATGGCACCGACCAATGCCAAGGCCGCCTGCCTCTACCCGAATAGCGGCCGGGCGATGCTGGAGGCGAAGAGCCGCGGGTTTGACAACGCCGTGCTTTGCGACGCGCTCGGCAACGTGGCCGAATTGGCCACGGCCAACATCTGGCTCGGCCTGGATGGAGCAGCCCATACGCCTGCACCGAACGGGACTTTCCTGAACGGCATCACCAAGCAGCGCAGTCACAGGCTGATGGAACAGGCCGGGATCGAGGTCTACGAGCGGCCGCTGACCTGGAACGATTTCCTGAACGCCGACGAGATCTTCTCTACCGGCAACTACGGCAAGGTCATGCCGATTACCCAGATCGAAGGGCGCGAGCTGCAGCCGGGTCCGATCTATCGCCGGGCTCGGGAGCTTTACTGGCAATGGGCACACGATACCTCCCCGATCTAGGTTCTGAGGCAAATCAAGGGGTTGCCTGGATAGCCTGACGGTTCTCCAACCCTGCTTCCTGCCGCCTGGAAGGCGGCAAAAGCCCGTTGCGCGCTTGGAACGGGGAGGCGTTGCACGCCGCTTGCGGTTTATCCCATAAGACCGAAAGACGACTCAGTATTAACCAAGCGGAAATGTAGATCGGGTCTACTGGGTGGCGACTTGAGAGTTTCAACCAGGGAGCACCCGGTTTGGCCAATCTCGATATGGACGGACCCTTCGACCTCGACAAACGAGTCGTGCAGGCTTCCGTCACGCAACCTCTGCCGGGTACCTTTGCGATCGGTCACAAGGATAAGGCCGGTCGCTTCCAGGTTCAGTATGTCGGCCGAGACGATCAAAACCTGGCACAGGCTCTGCTGACGGCGGTCAACCGCGGCGTCGGTAAGCCGGGTCTTTTCGGACGCATGCTTGGCGGCAAGCCGGTGGCGAACGCCTTCAAGTTTTCCTACGCCAGTACAGCTCAAGCGGCCTACGAGAAGCAGTGCCGGAACTATCACGCTTTCGGCGAGGCCCGCAGCCTGGAGAACAGAGAACACCCCGCACCGCCCCCGGGAAGCGGCTTCAAATGCCCCATATGTGGCGCGTAGTGCCGCAGCATACTTAGGCTCTCAGGGCGGCTGGCGCTCTAGGACGCTGTTGCCGCTGCCTCGCGCCCCAGAGCCGCCGAGTAGTCGGTGGCGCGCAGGACTCTGTCCTCGATCGCCCCGACCAGGTTGCCGTGCTCGGCAGACGTCTCCTGCTTGATGTCCTTCCATTCCTGATCCGCCATGAAGGCAGTCCAAGCTGCATCCTTTGCCGCGTCGTCCTGCCATTGCAGGAGGTAGACGAATTCGGTGCGCGCGTCGCGCCGTGTCTCCCACATGGCGAGGATCGCGAAGCCGTAGGACGCCATGATCCTCTGGGCGTGATCGCGGAACCGGGCATGGAACGCCGCCTTGTTCTCCTCGAAGATTTCATAGATTCGCAGTTGGTTGATCATGGGTTTCTCCGACAGCGGCCGGTTCGGCCTGAGAGGTTTTGGCCTGAGAAGCTTCGGGCGAGCTTGCCTCAGAAATCTCCGAAGCGGTAGACGCCAGCGTTAATGGCAAGGCGAAGTGTCTCCAGAACCCAATCGTTCGCCGCGATCGCTGCGAACGCGGTTGCGTCAGCTTCCTGGATGCCGTGATGAGCCTTTTGACGGACTGACCTCTTGTGGTCGCCGTGTCCGCAGTCAGACTCTCACCAGGTCCTCTATATGCCAAAGCGCTAGCGTCTTGTCTCTATAGTCGCCGCCGGCTTCCTCGCAGCCTTCCGAGATCGTCTCTATCGGTGCGGGAAGTTCAAAGGGCGCGGCTTGCAGATTGAGCGGCCGCCAGTCGCCGTCCTCGATATCGCTGTTGTCGGGAAGCTCCGGGAAGGTGGTGGTCAGGAGGTATCGCGCCCCGCAACTGCGCAGGTTCGCCAGGGCGCGCCCGATATTCGCAAGGGAGAAGTGAACCAGGCAGTCTCGGCAGAGCACGAGATCGGCTTGCGGCAGCTCGTCTTCCAGAAGGTCGAGCTGCTTGAAGTCGCGTCCGGGCGCGGCATGCGTCGCCTGGTTTGCCGCCACGATGTCGGTGACGATATCGCCACCGACATAGTCGACACCCGTGAGGTCGACGGCCGCCATCCAGCCGAACGCACCGCACGGCAGGTCCAGCAAACGGCGCACCTCGTAGTGGGACAGCAGAGTTTGCAGGCCGGCCCGCACCGGTCCCGTCGCGGCGATTTCGGAGCCGAGACCCGAGGGTGTCTCGGCCGCTCCCCAGAGGTTGGTCCGATGAATCAACGCGAAGCGATCACTCAGCGACAGTCCGGCGAAGGCGTCTCGCCGCTCGGCGAAGCGCAGCTGCGCGAGTGCAGGCTGCCGCTGCCGAAACGGTCTCACGCCCGCGCCAGATCCTCGCCGGCTAGGGCGCGTGCGACCAGTGCGCGGCTTTCCGGCAGGCCGTAGAGGGCGAAGAAGCTGCCAAGACGCGGCCCCTGTTCCTGTCCCAATAGCACTTCGTAGCAGGCCTTGAACCAGTCGCGCAGGGAGGGGAAGGTGTCGCGCTTACCGATCTCGTAGACCCTGTTCTGGATTGTCTCTCCATCGGCGTCGTCGGGAAGCCTCTCCAGCTCCGCCAGCAGATCCTCAAAGGCCGGACTTTCCTCCGATGTGGGGGCTCTATAGCGCTTGGCCGGCTTCACGAAGTCCCGATAGTAGACGATCGCGTAGTCGACGAGCTGTGCCAGAATCGGATCGCTCGCCGGGCTCGCGCTCGGTGCGTAGCGGCTGATGAAGCCCCAGAGCACCTCCGGAGCATCGGCGTTGCAGGCACCCACCAGGTTGAGCAGCAGGCTGAAGGAGAGATGAGCCGGTTCGCGCGGCGGCTCGCCGCCGTGGATGTGCCAGACCGGGTTCTCAACCCGCCGCTCCGCCGGTTCGTCCTCGAACTTGGCGAGGAAAGTCAGGTAGTCGTCGACGGTCCGGGGAATCGCATCGAAGTAGAGCCGCTTTGCCGCGCGCGGTTTCTGGAACATGAAAAGAGACAAGCTCTCCGGCGGCGCATAGGTCAGCCACTCCTCGACGGACAGGCCGTTGCCCTTCGACTTGGAGATCTTCTCGCCCTTTTCGTCCAGAAAGAGCTCGTAGGTGAAACCGTCGGGCGGGCGGCCGCCGAGAATCTTGCAGATACGCGCGCCCAGACGCACTGACTCGATCAGGTCCTTGCCGGACATCTCGTAGTCGACGCCCAGGGCCGCCCAGCGCATGCCCCAGTCGGGCTTCCACTGCAGCTTGCAGTGCCCGCCCGTCACCGGAAGTTCGGTCTTGCTGCCGTCCTCGTCCTCGAACACGATCGTGCCGGTCTCGACCTTTCGCTCCAGGATCGGAACCTGCAGCACCCGGCCCGTCGTCGGGGAGATCGGCAGGAAAGGGCTATAGGTGCGCCTGCGCTCCTCTCCCAGGGTCGGGAGCATCACCTGCATGACCTCCTCGTAACGCTCCAGCACTGTCAGCAGTGCCGTGTCGAAGCGGCCCGAGCGGTAGAAGTCGGTGGAGGACTGAAACTCGTAATCGAAGCCGAAGGCGTCCAGGAAAGCCCGCAGGCGGGCGTTGTTGTGGGCTCCGAAGCTCTCGTGCTCGTCACCGGAGGAATCGGGCCCGAAGGGATCGGGAATGGCGGTCAGCGGTTTGCCCAGATGCTGGGCCAACATCTCCTTGTTGGGTACATTGTCCGGAACCTTGCGCAAGCCGTCCATGTCGTCCGAGAAGCAGAAGAGACGCGTGGGAATGTCGCTTAGACGCTCAAAGGCACGGCGGACCATGGTGGTGCGCACCACCTCGCCGAAGGTGCCGATGTGCGGCAGTCCCGAGGGGCCATAGCCGGTCTCGAAGAGTGCATAGCCCTTGTCCGGCGTCTTGCCGTCCAGGCGTTTGAGCAGCTTGCGGGCCTCTTCGAAAGGCCAGGCCTTCGCCGTCTCCGCCAGCTCGCGTTCGCTCGTCATCGTTCCGTTTTCCTACCTGAAGGGCTGGCAAGCTAGGCAGGTGAAGGGGAGCCCGTCAACGCACCCGCGATGCGATTGCAACAGAGGCGTCATGCAGGCCTGATAGAGCTAGCGCGATATGACCGCAATTCTTATGAGGAGAAAAGGGATGGCGACCTACGGCGTGCGCATGATGGATGCCAACACCGGTGGCGAGGGTCGTTACAGTTTCCAGGGCCCCGAGGACCTTTTCGCACGTACCCCCGTGAAGATCATCAAGGCGTTCATGGATCACGTCGACAAGACCCTGCTGCCGCACGAGCATGTCGAATACGAGATCAACGCGGCCTTCAAAAACAACGAGCACAAGACGGTAACCGCCATGGGCCACCTGATTCTCGAGCACCCGCCCGCTATCCCCTTCATGATGATGATCTCACCGGACGACGCGGTCTGACCTTCCGCCTCCGGTCGCTCCGGCCACGGCCTTGGGTACGGCTTGCGTCTACCGCGCGCGTGCGAAGAGGTGCCGGAAGAAATTCTCCTCTTTCGCCATCTCGATGAGCTGGGCACGCTGTTCGGGCGTTAGACCGGCGGCCCAGCCGTGCATGTCCGTCCCGACCTCCGCCCAGAAGGCGTTGCGTTCCCGGCCCCGCCCGTTGAGGATCTCCTGCACGCGTGCGGTGTCGTAGACCTCGTCGTCGAGCATCTCGATCAGCTCGGTGCGCGCCGGCGTTCCGTCGGTCTGCTGTCGAGCAAGACCCTCGAGCGTGCGTTGACGGAAGCCCCGCAGGCCTTCGGTTTCCTGCGGGGTCAGGTCCAGGCGCTCGGCGATCGTGGCGATATGCGCTTGCGGGTCGGGCCGACCCTCTCCTGCGGCGAAGTGGCCGAAGACGGCTCCCCCGAGCAGTCCCAGGTTGAGCAGAATCGAGAGGACCAAAGCGATTGTCAGCAGCGGAGCGCGCACGGCCGACTGCCTAGAGGAAGGGAGCAGGCTGAGCGCCGAAATCGGCCACCGTCACCTGCGTGCTGTCAAGGCTGGAGAGCGAAGGTGCAAGTCCTTCGGTCCCGATGCCGAAACCGCCGACACCGACGATCAGCGCCAGTGCCGCCACCGCGCTCCAGCGCACGACCGGCTGACCGATCAGACGCTCGATCCAGTTGCTGCCGGTCCAGCTGCCGCTCTCCGGTCGTACGTCCACCGGCGCCCGAACAATGGCCTGCGCGCGGCTGACGAAGGCTGCCGGCGCAGCAGGGCACTCCAGGTCGTCCGTCTCCACTGCCTCGCGCAGCAAGGCAACCTCCTCGACGGCCTCGGGCGTGTCTGCGATCCAGGCTTCCACCTTGGCGGCTTCGGCCTCGCTCAGGCGACCCTCCAGCCAAGCCGCCAAAACGATCGGCTCCGGCCGATCAAGCGGGGGCTTGCCTCGCAGCACGCGGGCCACGAGCTGCTGTGCAGCATCACCGCCAATCTCGAACTGTTGCTCCCCAGTCATTTCGCAGCACCCCTATCTCACGAAAACTTGTACGTGCCGTCCACGGTCTTCATCCCTGATCTACCTTAGCGAAATGCTGACGCAGCTTCGTTAAGGCCTTGTGGTGCATGGAACGCACCGTCTGTGCTTCGACTCCCAGGAACGCGGCCGCCTCGGCGACTTCCTTCTCCTCGTCGTAAAGCATCCGCAAAACGGCAGCCTGACGGTCCGACAAGAGGCCCTCGGGAATACGAACCGGCTGTACGGGCTCCACCGGATCCACGGCAAGCCGATACTCTGGCACATCGTCGATCGGTTCGGCATGTACGCCGGTTGGCCGCCCGCGGCGCAGAGCATCGATTGCCGTTGTCGTGGCAATGACCGTCAGGAAGGTGGTGATCTTCGCCTTGGCCGGATCGTAGCCGCGCAGCAGCTTGTAGTCGTTGCGGCAGAGCTTGAGATAAACCTCCTGCACGACATCGTCCGCCTCGTCGCCTCGACCGGCGGGGGCCATGCGTTTTTGCACAGCGGCGTAGACGACCGCTGCCGTGTCGGCAACGAATCCATCCCATGCCGGCTTGTCGCCCTGCACGAGCCGCTTGATCTGATCTGCATCCCCGGGCATTTCGCGGTTAGGCAATAAAGCCTGCGGCGGCGCGATGCCAGCCTGCAAAGCTCTCGCGGCCTGTTTCCATGTCCCCTTCGGTCGGCAAAACCGGACGAGAAGGGCTCGTCGGCGCAGGCCGGAATCGGTATAGCGCCGAATCGGTGCCATGCGATGCACGGACCCCTATACTCCGCGCGCCATGCGCGAATCGCCCCCGACTCTTGTTGCTGCCGTGACTGCCGCCGTCTGGTTGACAGCCGACGGCGAGGTGGACTCTCTCGCTCCTGCGGAGGCCGCTCGACGCGCCAGCCGGCAGGCGCCCTTGCTCTGCCATCGCCGCGCGACCGCCACACGGTTGGGCGTCGACCCCTTTCCGGCCTTCGATCTTCTGGAACTCTTCGCCTTCGTCCGTCCCGCGCGCTTCTGTGCGCCGACGCCGCGCGGGCTTGCTCAGGCGCTCGGTCTGGGCGATCCGCATAGCCTGGAAGCCCAGGCCCTGGTCCTCGGCCGGGCGGCCGACCGGTTGTTGGCAGAACTGGCGGCCCAGGAAGGGCCGAAGAGTCCAGCGCTGTCCATCGCCTGGACCATGGCGCAGGCAGGCTGGCCTTGGGGCCCGGCCGTTCTGCAGGCGCTCGACTTCGGCAAGGCCGAGCGCGCGCCGCGCCGGACGGCCGGCTATCAGGTCTGGGAAGGGCTCTCCGAATGGTCGGAGCACGCGCCGGAGCCGCCGGCGGGCAACGAACCGGTCGACCCGCAGGAGGCCAGGCGGCGGCTGGCCGAGCTGCTGGGAACGGACGCCGAGGCGCGCCCCCAACAGGCCGACTACGCCAGTGCGGTCGCGACAGCCTTCGCACCGCGCGATCGGGAGGCGGATCCTCATCTGGTCTTGGCGGAGGCCGGGACCGGCGTCGGCAAGACGCTCGGCTACATCGCACCGGCCAGCCTCTGGGCCGAGAAGAACGGCGCCGCCGTCTGGCTCTCCACCTACACCCGCAATCTGCAGCAACAGATCGATGGCGAGCTGGACCGCCTCTTTCCGCATCGCGCCGAGAAGGTCCGGCAGGTCGTGGTGCGGAAGGGGCGGGAAAACTACCTCTGCCTGCTGAACTACGAGGAGGCGGTGCGCGGACTGGCGACCCGGCCGCAAAGCGCGGTGCCGCTCGGCCTCTTGGCACGCTGGGCTTCGGCGACGCGCGACGGCGACATGGTCGGCGGCGATCTGCCAGGCTGGCTGGCGGATCTGACGGGGCGCGGCCGGACCTTCGGGTTGGCCGACAGGCGCGGCGAATGCATCTACGCGGCCTGCCCGCATTACAGGAAGTGCTACATCGAACGCTCGGTGCGCCGCGCGCGCCGCGCCCGATTGGTCGTGGCGAATCATGCGCTGGTGATGGTGCAGGCCGCGCTCGGTGGCGGCGAGGAGGGGCAGCTGCCCCAGCGCTACGTGTTCGACGAGGGGCACCATCTCTTCGAAGCAGCCGACAGCGCCTTTGCTGCTCATCTTTCGGGGCAGGAAACGACCGAACTGCGGCGATGGCTGCTCGGGGCCGAAGCCGCGCGTCGCGGCGGTTCGAGCCGGCAGCGGGGTCTGCAGCGGCGCATCGAGGATCTGGTGGCCGGCCAGGATCACCTCGAAAGCCTGCTGCAGCGCGCTCTGCGCGGCGCCCGCGTACTGGCGGCCGAGGGCTGGCATCAGCGGGTCACCGAGGCTGAAGGCTGCGAGGGGCCGACCGAGCGGTTCCTCGCGCTTGTGCGTCAGCAGGTCTATGCCCGAGCGCCCCAGCGCGGCGAGGGCTACAGCCTGGAAACGGAGGTACGGCCGGCGGCGGACGGTCTGCTCGAAGCCGCTCTTGGCCTGGACGGCGCGCTTGAGAAGCTGGAGCAGCCCCTGGTCGGGCTGCGCGACGGTCTGGGGGATCGGCTGGACCGGGAGGCGGACACGCTGGACAGCGACACCCGCCGTCGGATCGAGGCGACCATGCGGTCGCTGGAGCGCCGCGCGGTACGGCCGCTGCGCGCCTGGCGCCAGATGCTGAGGGCGCTGGCCTCCGAGGCCTCGCCGCCTGAGTTCGTCGACTGGCTGGCGGTCGAGCGGATCGACGGCCGTGACGTCGATGTCGGTTTCTTCCGCCATTGGGTCGATCCGACCGAACCCTTCGCCCAGGCGGTGCTGGCGCAGGCGCAGGGCGCGGTGGTCACCTCCGCGACGCTGACGGACAAGTCGGGCGATCCCGAACTGGATTGGCAGGCGGCCGCACAGCGCAGCGGCAGCATCCACTTGCCGCGCCCGGCGATCCGCGCTCAGGTGCCGTCGCCCTACGACTATGCGGCCCAGACGCGCATCTTCGTGGTGACCGACGTCCGCAAAGACGACCTCGATCAAGTGGCCGCTGCGGTGCGCGAGCTGTTTCTCGCGGCCGGGGGCGGTGCGCTTGGGCTCTTCACGGCGATCAGCCGTCTGAAGGCCGTCCATGCCAGGATCGGCCGGCCCCTGGAGCAGGCGGGGTTGGAGCTCTATGCCCAACATCTCGACGGGCTCGATGTCGCCACGCTGGTCGAGATCTTTCGGGCTGAACCGGATTCCTGCCTGCTGGGAACGGATGCCGTCCGGGACGGCGTCGACGTTCCGGGCAGGGCGCTGCGCCTGATTGTCTTCGACCGCGTGCCCTGGCCGCGACCGGACCTGCGCCACAAGGCCCGGCGCGCAGCCTTCGGCGGAAAACGCTACGACGACATGATCACGCGTCTCAAGCTGCGCCAGGCTTATGGCCGTCTGGTGCGGCGCGCCGACGATCACGGCGTTTTCGTGCTGCTGGATCCCATGGTGCCGTCGCGCTTCGCCAGCGCTTTTCCCGAAGGTGTCGACTTCGTGCGGGTCGGTCTGGCGGAGGCCATCGCGGAGACCCGGGCTTTTCTGTGAGCTCGGGCCATTGCGGGAATCAGCCAACCCCGAAGTAGATGAAGATGCCGGAGATCGTGCCGATCGACAGCAGGGTCGAGATCACGATGGCCGCCGTTGCGCGCTGAATGTACAGGCCGTAACGGTGGGCCAGGACGAACACCAGCGCGCCGGTCGGCAAGGCGGCCTGGATCACGGCGCTCTGGGCCCAGATCGTCTCCATCGTCATGACGTGGAAGGCCAACCAGTAGGTCACCGCGGGCATCACCAGCAGCTTGAGCAGCGATAGCCATCCGACCTCACCGAGCCCGGCCGTCAGTGACTTGCCGACCATGAAGAGGCCCATGGCGAAGAGGGCGCAGGGACCGGCGGTCGAGCCCATGAGATCGCAGAAGCGCGCCACGGGTGTCGGCAACTCCAGGCCCGACCAGGCCCAGAGAATCCCGGCGGCCGCGGAGAGCAGCAGTGGCGACTTGACGACGGCCGCCAAGGCGTTTCTGGCCAGATCGCGTGCGGCCTCGTCGCCGTTGCCGTCCAGTTCTATCAGCAGCGTCGCGACTGCCATGACCACGACTCCGGTCATGACTGTCCCGATGATGCCGGCCGGCAGTCCGGCCTCGCCGTAGGCGATCAGCAGCAGCGGAATGCCCATGTAACCGGTGTTGGAGAAGATTGCCGCTGCGCCATGTAGCGTGAGGATCGCCAGCCGCCCCGGGAACGCGAAGGCGGCGACCAGCATCGCCAGCCCGAACGTCCCGACCAGCCCGCCGCCGAAGGCGACGATGAAGGGCCAGTGGAGAATCTGGGAAATCTCGAGCTGCGCCATGGTGCCGAAAAACAGGGCTGGCAGGGCCACGTAGAAAACGAAGGCATTCAGTGCGCCGGAGGCCTGTTCGCCGAGCAGACCGACCCGCCCGACGGCGTAGCCGCCGCCCATGATCGCGAAAACCGGCAGGACGATGTTGAGGATTGCCTCCATGGCGGCCGCAAGTAGCCCGGTCGCAGCCGATCCGTCCAGACCGCGTGAGGCAAGGCTCCTATGCCCGCGCAGATTGGGTGGCGTTCTGCAGGGGCAGCTGTCGGGACGCGATCGTGTTCGGCCGAAAGATCGGATTGGCCCTTGGAGCAGGATTGCGTGACGCGGAACCGCGTTAGCGATCCCGTGTCGCGCAGACGGCGGCTCTTGCAGGCGCCAGACGCCTGCTCAGCGCGGCACCACCTTTCGGTAGAGGTGCCAGGTGGCATGCCCCAGGACCGGCATGACAAAGATCAGGCCCAGCAACAGCGGAGCCGACCCGATCACCAGTCCGCCGGTGACGATCAGACCCCAGACGGCCATAGGCACAGGATTCAGGCGCACGGCACGGATCGAGGTCGCGATCGCCGTCGGCAGGCTGACCTTGCGATCGAGCAACAGGGGGAAGGAGACCACGCTGATCGTCAGAGTCAGGACGGCGAAGAGGGCGCCGACCCCCACGCCGGCCAGAAGCAAGGTCCAGCCGGCGCCCGTCGTCAGGACGTCGCGGAGGAAGCTGCCGAGCGATGCCGGCAGTTCGGGACCCAGTGTCGCGTTGTAGATCGCTTGCGCCGAGGCCAACCAGACAAAGAAGATCGCGAACAGCAGCAGCGCCAGAACCGCGATCGCCCCGAAGGCCGGAGCGCGGAGCGGCGCGAAGGCATCGGCCCAGGTCGTCTCCAGACCTTGCTCGCGACGACGGCTGATCTCGTAGAGACCGATAGCAGCTGCGGGGCCGATCAGTGCGAAGCCGGAGGCGAGCGGGAACAGAAGCGGCAGGAGGTCGTAGCCGAAAGCCACGCGCGCCAGGACGAAGCCGACAATGGGATAGAGCAGGCAGAGCAGGACAATGTCGCTGCGGTAGGCGGCGAAGTCGTCCACGCCGCGGATGAGAACGTCGCGAAGGTCGTCGATCCCGATGCGTCGAACCTCGAGCCCGAAGGTCCGGGCCGAGCGGTCCAAACCTGCGGCCGACCCGCTGTCTGTCCGGCTGTCGGGCCCAGTGGCTTGGCGGCTCATGGAGTCCGCGTGCTTCGCCGCGGACCTGAACTGCTCGATTCCCCACTCGATGGGATTGCGTATGGTGGACATGACAGGTCCCTCCGTCCTCGATGGTCCGTGCTGGCTTCGTCCTCCGCGGCGTCTCTTCGGTCGGGGCGCAGCAGAAAAGTCGCTGCGGCATAGCGTGGACGCGGCAGGAGCTTGGGTGCGGCAGAGACTTGGGTACGAGAGATACCGGCTCTAGCTCTGACTGGCGCTGCCCGTCTCGGTCGCTTCGCTCAACACCGTTGAGGAATAATTTACCATATTATCTCCTCCAGGTTTGGATATTCACAGTTTATTGCGGTGTTGCCCGTCACTCGGGCGGCCGGGCGCCAGGCGGCGCCTCTCGTCCGTGCTGCTTGCCTGCTCCGCTTGACGCGGATCGATCGGCTAGGCATCACTGGCCGCGCACAAGAAACCTGGAGGCCCCCAGTGCAGATCGACCCGCATTCCGCCTTGGTTTACGTCATGGTTCTGGTGTCCGCATCCGACGACGACATGACCGACGCGGAACTGAAAACCATGGGCGAGATCGTCCGCTACCTGCCGGTTTTCCGAGGTTTCGAGTCACAACGCCTGACGACGATTGCGGATGCCTGCGCCGATCTGCTCAGCGACGAAGACGGTTTGGACAAGGCGCTCGATGCGATCCAAGCGGCGCTGCCCGATCATCTGCGGGAGACGGCCTATGTGCTCGCTTGCGACGTTGCGGCCGCCGACGGGCAGGTGGCGCAGGAAGAGATGCGTCTGCTCGAACTGATCCGCTATCGCCTGCGGGTGGGCCGTCTTCCCGCCGCTGCGATAGAGCGCGCCGCGCGGGCGCGCCACCAGACGCTGTAGCCAAGGCGCGGGATCGGCAGCAGCCTTAGGATCTGGCTGCTAATATACTGGTTTTATGTCATTTTTGCGTTGCGTTGGATACGCGGCGCACGGCAGGATTCTTGTTCCGACTACGGTCACTGGGACAGGAGGTTTCGTGCCGTGAGCCTGGATTTGCTGTTGAAGGACTACCGCCTGACGACGGCGGAGATTCTCTATCATATGCCCGACCATCCGGGGTTGCTTCAGACCTACGTCTGGCAGGACTACGACCAAGCCCCGCGCTACCCCGTCCTCTGTCAGTTCCTCGACTTTTGGATCCGCGAACTCGACGGACCGCTGCATTCCGTGAAGGTCGCCGGTCAGAAGCTGCTGGTGCCCCCCGAAACGCGGGTCGTCCAGACGTGGCTGACGCTCCACTAGCTTTCTGCCTGCTGGGTTTTTCCATCCCAAGCGGGGAGTGACGCTTCGCCGCTTGGTCTTGCGCGCTGCGGCGCATAGGTTGCCGGTCGTTCCCGTCTTCAACAACCGGCCTGACGACCGTGACTTTTTCCGCCTTTTCTCCCTCGGATTCGTCCGCTGTCTCGGATGCGCGCGCTGCACCCCGCGCGGTCGCGCTCTGGCTGTTGAGTGTCGCGGCCCTGATCTTCGCGATGGCCGTGATCGGCGCGATCACCCGCCTGACCGAATCGGGTCTCTCGATCATGGAGTGGGCTCCGGTTTCCGGTTTTCTGCCGCCTCTGACGGCAGCCGAGTGGGAGCGACTGCTCGACCTCTATCGGCTGACGGCCGAATACCAGCAGATCAACCGCGGAATGACCCTGGCTGAGTTTCAGGAGATCTTCTGGTGGGAATGGATCCATCGCCAATGGGGCCGTCTGATCGGCTTGGCCTACGCCCTGCCGCTGGCGTGGTTTTGGCTGCGTGGACGCCTGCCTGGCTGGATCAAGCCGCACCTGCTGTTCGCGCTGGGTCTTGGCGCGCTGCAGGGGTTCATGGGCTGGTTCATGGTAGCCAGTGGCTTTTTCGACGATCGTACGGACGTCAGCCAGTACCGTCTGGTGCTGCATCTGTCGCTGGCTCTGGTCATCTACGCCTATCTGCTCTGGCTCTCGCTCAGCCTTCTGCGGGCTCCCGCCGTCGCCGAAACGGACAGCTCGCTCCGCGTCGCGGTCAGGCTCTTCGCAGGGCTTCTCACCGTAACTTTGGTCTCTGGCGGCTTCGTAGCGGGTACGGACGCGGGAATGACCTACAATACCTTCCCCTTGATGGACGGCCGCCTTCTGCCAGCGGGCTATTCGGCTCTGCAGCCCTGGTGGCTCAATTGGTTCGAGACCATCGAGGCGATTCAGTTCAATCATCGCCTTCTGGCCGTCAGCACGGCAGTGGCGGCGGTTCTTTTGTGGCTCCGGTCGCTCCGTCGTCCTCTGGCCCCCGCCACGCGGCAAGGCTTCACCGCCGTAGCTTGTGTGGCTCAGGCGCAGACGGGGCTGGGCATCGCCACGCTGCTGATGGCTGTACCGGTGTGGCTGGGCGCGCTGCATCAGGCCGGCGCTCTCTGTCTGATCGCCGCTACGGTCTTCCTGCTGCACAGCCTTCGCCGAACGCGAACGGCGAATCAGCTCTCCTGCTGAGACTGGCTTTCCGCGTACTCGTCGGCCGCCATGGCCGCGACGATCGGCGTCGAGCCCTGTGACACCGCGACCCAGCCGCCCTGTTCTTCCAGGGGGACGGCCGGGCGACGGGCCATCCGGTAGAGGGCAAAGCCGCCAAGCATCAGATGCAGCACGGCCACCGTGGCGAAGAAGCCGCTGGGCCCGGTCAGGTCCATCGCCGCGCCGGCCGCCGGCGGGCCCAGGATGCCGCCGACGGCATAGACCAGATAGAGCGTCGAGGAGGCGGCCACCATCTGTTCGCGCTCCAGGTGGTCGTTGGCGTGGCTGAGCACCAGCGCGTACATCGACAGGCAGAAGCCCCCGAACAGCGCGGCCAGCCCGAACAGCAACCAGCGGTCCAGATCGCCAATCGACCAAGCCGCGCCGGCGACGCCGGCGGCGATCAGGGTGACGACGGTCATGACGAGACGCCGGTCGAAGCGATCCGAGAGGCGCCCGATCGGAAACTGCAACAACACTCCGCCGATCATGAAGGCCGAGACGAAGATCGAGATCTCGGCGCCCGTCAGGCCGGCGGAGGTCGCGTAAACGGCGCTCATTCCCAGCAGTGCGCCCTGTGCCACACCGAGCAAGGCTGCGCCGACCACGGCCAGAGGCGAGCTCATGTAGAGCACGCGCAGGGAAACCGGTTGCGGCGCGTCGAAGTAGGGAGCAGGGCTGGCCGATAGCAACATCGGCACCAGGGAGATCGAGAGCAGCACGGAGACCAGAATGAAGAGAACGAAGCCGTTGGGGTCGGAGAGAACCAGCAGGTACTGTCCAGCAGCCATGCCGAGCATCACGACGATCATATAGATGGCCAGCACCTGGCCGCGGGTTTCGTTCGTCGCACGGTCGTTCAACCAGGACTCGGCCACGATGTAGAGGGCGGCCACGCAAAAGCCGGTTGCGATCCGCATGGCAGTCCAGCTGACCGGCTCGATCAGAACAGAGTGCGCGAGCACGGCGACCGACGCCACGGATGCGACGGCAGCGAAGACCCTGATATGACCGACCCGTCTGACCATCAGCGGAGTCACCAGGGACCCGATCAGAAAGCCTGCATAGTAGCCGGCCATGATCACGCCGGTCACAGTCTCGTCGAAGCCCTCCAGCCCGGCGCGCACGCCCAGCAAGGTCGATTGCAGACCATGCGCGGCCATGATGAGAATCAGGCCGATAAACAGGCTCCAGGTGGCGGCAAGCGCAGTGATCATCGCCGGGAACCTTTACCGCAGGGCTTGCTGGAGAACCGCTGGTCCAGTGGAGACCTAGGCGCCCGCCGTCCAGGCTGGAACGCGGACCGACAGTCGACGCGAACCCCGATGGAATCAAGCGTTGCCACCGCCCGGGAAATTTTTTCGCCGCCCCTCTTGCAACGGCGCAACAGATACACACATTTCCGCATAGACAATGCGCAAATAGGTTTAACTCGCGTTTGCGTTGAGGAATTCGGGGGTGCAGAGGCGCCGTCGGTGGGCTGCCGGCATCCATCTTCCCGAGAGTGAATTGGTCGAGCCGAGCCTATTCGGTATCGGCGCGGCCAATATGTCGGTTCGTCGTCCGCGATCTCGCGGATCTCCCCGTCAGACGGATCGGCATCCCTAGCTGAGAGGTTGCTTCGCGGTAACTATTGCGGCGTCCTTCGGGACGCCGCTTTTTTTTATTCGGATGTCTGATCGGGGTCAGGCGATCGGGATGCGGGCAACGAGACCGGGACGCGATCCGGGCTGATCAAGGCTGTCCAGCGGTCTCGGCGCCACGCGTTTCCCAAACCTGCGCCAGCGTCTCTCAGAGTTCCTTGGTTTTGGCCAGAACCTCCTCGACGTGGCCCGGCACCTTCACCTTTCGCCATTCGGCGCGCAGAACGCCTTTTTCGTCGATCAGAAAGGTGGAGCGGTCGATGCCCATGTACTTCTTGCCGTACATCGCCTTCTCGACCCAGGACCCGTAGGCTTCAACAGTCGTGCCTTCCTCGTCGGACGCGAGGGTAAAGGGCAGCTCATACTTTGCCTTGAATTTGTCGTGCTTGGCGACGCTGTCCTTCGACACGCCGATGATCTCGGCATCCAGCCCGCTGAAGTCCGGCAGGCTGTCGCGGAAACCGCAGGCTTCCTTGGTGCACCCAGGAGTATCGTCCTTCGGATAGAAGTAGAGGACGACCTTCTTGCCGCGCAACTTCTTAAGAGAAACCGAGCCGCCCCCGTCCGTCGGCAGGGTGAAGTCCGGGGCGGGTTTGCCAACTTCAACGCTCATAAAGGCCTTCTCCATCTCGCAGTGGTCGCGGCAAAGGTGACGCCGGAAGGCGGAAAGTCAAGCTGGCGGGACACCGCTTCGCAGTGAGCTCAAGGCTCGCCGCTGACTCACGGCGATCACCAAGCGAGAGGATCAGTCGGGATGATCGCCGTTTCGACTCTCGTCCTCCGTCTCGTCGCGCTTCGCGATCAGAACTCTCGCTGGCTCCTCGATCAGCTCGGCGTAGCTTTCGCAGACCCGTTCGACGGCGACCATCAGGTCCTCGCGCACTGCGTCGAAATCCGCCTTGGCGGTGAAGCGCGCCAACGCCCGTTTCTGGCCCTCTGGGGCCTGCTGCTCGTCAAAGGCCTCCCCGGCTGTCAGCCGCAGCATCTGCTGCAGGGCGCTGAGCAGCCGCTCCGCCTCGATCAATCCGGCGGTCCGCTGGGGACCGATCACACCGGCCTCGCCCAGTGCCTCCAGAGCGTCGACCGTCGAGGTCTTCAGCACATCGGGCTGATCCTGAGCGGCCAGAAGTTGGAGGCCCTGTGCCACGAAGTCGAGGTCGTAGAGCCCGCCCCGCAAGTACTTGAGGTCCCAGAGGCCTCGCGCGGGATGCTCCTTGGCGATGCGTTGCCGCATCTCGGCGACGTCGATCAAGGTCCGGTTGCGGTCGCGCGGACGTGTCAGGGCGGACCGGATGGTCTGCCGGAGGTCGGTCGCCAGGCCGGGGTCGCCGGCAATGGGCCGTGCCCGGGTCAGGGCCATCTCCTCCCAGGTCCAGGCGTCCTCCTGCAGATAGCGGCGATAGCCGGCCAGGGAGACGGCGATGGGTCCAGTAGCTCCGGAGGGACGCAGGCGTGGATCCACCTCGTAGAGGCTGCCCTCCGCCGTCTGCACGGTCAGCGCGGTGATCAGGCGTTGGCTCAGGCGGCCGAAGTAGATCGGCGGATCGAGCGGCTTGGGTCCGCTTGACTCGCGCGATCCCGCGGCGACGTCGTAGACGAACACGAGGTCCAGATCGCTGGTCGCTGTCATCTCGCCCGCGCCCAGCTTGCCCAGCGCCAGCACCGCCAAACCGCGCCCGGGCATTTCGCCGTGCTGACGGGCCAACTCCGCCTGGACGCGTGGAAGCAGCGCCCGCAGCGTGGCCTCGGCAATGGCAGTATAGGCTTGGCCGGCACCTGTCACGTCGTAGTCGCCGCGGAGAATCCGAAGACCGACCTTGAAGCGGCGATCTCCGGCCCAACGGCGGACAAGGTCGAGGACTTCCTGAAAGTCGCGAGCCTGACCGAGCGTTTCCGCAAGCTCGCTATCGAGACCGGCGGCGTTTGGCAAGGCGTCGCCGAAGCCCGGTTCGAGGACGGCTTCAAGCAGGCCGGGCCTCCGCCCCAGATGCTGCGCCAAGGCCGGAGCGTCGCCCATAATCTCGGCGAGCAGGTTCAGCAGCTTGGGATTCTCGTGCAGCATTGAGAAGAGTTGAACGCCTGCCGGCAGCCCTGCCAGAAAGGTGTCCAGGCGCAGTAGCGCGTCGTCCGGCTGGGCGCTGCGGCCGAGGGCCTGCAGAAGGCTTGGCATCAGCTCCGTCAGATACTCGCGCGCCCGCGTCGTGCGGGTGGCGCGGTAGCGGCCGTGATGCCAGGCCCGCACCAGATTGAAGACGCGCGTGCCGTCCGTGAAACCGAGCTTGGTCAGCGTCTCCAAGGTTCCCGGCTCCGGTTCTCCGCCTGTGAACACCAGGTTGCCCGGGCCCGACAGACTGGGCGCTTCCTCGAACAGCTCAGCGTAGTGGTGCTCGACGCATTCCAGGTGGGTCACAAGCTCCCCGCGAAAGGCGTTCGAGTCGGTCGCGCCCAGGAACGCGGCGATCCGCTCGACTCCCTCCGCGTCGCCAGGGATGAGGTGGGTTTGCTGATCGCCAACCATCTGGAGGCGGTGTTCCAGTCGACGCAGGTAGCGGTAGGCCTCGGTGAGATCCCGCGCCGTCTCAGGCTCGATCCGCCCGAAGCGCACCAGAGTTTCCAGCGCGACGAGCGTTTGGGGTTCGCGAAGTTCCGGATGGCGGCCGCCGAAAATCAATTGCTGGGTCTGTGCAAAGAACTCGATCTCGCGAATGCCGCCCCTGCCCAGTTTGACGTTGTGCCCCTCGACAGCGATGTCGTTGCCGCCCTTGTGTGCTGCGATCTGGCGCTTGATCGAGTGGATGTCGCGAATAGCCCAGAAGTCCAAGTGCTTGCGCCAGACAAAGGGCCGGATCTCGCGCTGAAATGCATCGCCGAGCGCGCGGTCGCCGGCCACGGGCCGTGCCTTGATCATCGCCGCCCGTTCCCAGTTCTGCCCGAGCGACTCGTAGTAGGTCATGGCGGCGCCGAAGGAGATCGCCACGGGCATGGCGCCCGGATCGGGCCGCAGCCGCAGGTCGGTCCGGCAGACGTAGCCTTCGGCCGTGCGTTCCTCCAGCAGCTGGACCAGGTCCCGGGTCAGCCGGATCATCGTTTCCGCCGTGCCGCGTTTGCTGCGGCAGTCGATGCGATGGGGGTCGTAGAAGACGATCAGGTCGACATCGGAGGAGTAGTTGAGCTCTCCGGCGCCCAGTTTGCCCATGCCCAGGACCAGGTATCCGCAGTTCTCGGTGGGCTTTGCCGGGTCGGGCAGCGCCAGTTCCTGACGCTGATGGAGACGGCGCAGTAGCTGGCCGAGTCCGGCATCGATCGCCGCTGCGGCGAAGTCGGAGAGCGCGCCAGTGACCTTCTCGAGCGGCCAAAGGCCGGCGATGTCGGCCAGCGCGACCGTCAGTGCGCAGTGGCGCCGGGCCTGGCGCAGCGCAATGCCGGCCGCCCCGACGTCCTCGGCAAAGGCTGCCGCGCGGGTCTGTTCCAGGACAGCGGCCATCCGCCGGTCCGGCCCTTCGGTCAGAAGAGCCAGAAAGCCGGCCGGATCCGCGAGAATACAGCCGCCGAGGAAGGGCGCATTGCCGAAGACGGCTTCGAGAAGCCTTCGCCCGGCTGGATCTTTTAGCAGCTTTGCAACCGCCTCCGCTGTCTCCGGCTCCGCCCGCCCAGCTCGCTCGGCCAGGTCTTGCAGGCCGTTGGCGGCTTGGACGGAATCGAAAACGCGTGGCAGGGATTCGGCGGCAGGCAGGAAGGCGTAACGCATGGACTTGACCGAACGGCCTGATTGGCGGGCCAGACTGCGCCGCGCTCCGGTCTAGCGTCAAGCCGCGCCCGAATGTCCGACTCTCACGGAGCGCACTGGTTTCGATGCCCCCGGCTCCGTTAATCTCTTGGTCATGATTCGTCGTTCCACTCGTATTGCGCTGGAGGTGCTGGTCGGGCTGCTGCTCGCTGCCGTCTTGGTCGTGGCGGCTGTGCTCTGGCGCCTGTCCGACGGGCCCGTTTCGGTCGATTTCCTGACTCCGCACCTCGAGCAGGCCTTTGCCGCGGCTGACGGCGACCTGACCGTGGATGTCGGTTCGACCGAACTGATCTGGGGCGGTTGGGACCGTACCCTGGACTTGCGCGCCCGCGACTGGCGCGTGAACGGTCCGGACGGCCAGAAGGTGGCTCAGCTGCCCGAGGTGGATATCACCTTGAGCCTGCGAGCGCTCGCCCAGGGCGTCGTCGCTCCGACGGCTATCGCCGTGACAGGTGCCAGTCTCACGCTGGAGCGCGATCGCGAGGGTCGCTTCGGCGTCGTGGAGTCGCCTCTGCTCGATCCCGTGCCGGCGCCGGAAACAGCGAAGGCGGTCCAATCCGGGCAGCAGGACCAGGTTCCCGGAGAGACGCGCGACGGTGGCGCCGCGACATCCGAGGTCGAGCTGCCGGAGATCGCGTCCCTGCTTCCGGATCTGGCCGCACGGCTTCTGTCGCCGGCCGATCCGTCCGAACCCTTGTCCTTTCTGAATTCGCTGCGTGGCCTGGATCTGACTGTCACGCTGATCGACCGCAGCATCGGAACGCGTATCGTTGCACGCGGAGGTGCGGTCGAGCTGTTCCGCCAGGACAGCGGCATTTCCGGGACGGCCGGGCTGTCGCTCGACATCGGGACGGAGCCGATGATGCTCGAAGCGACGCTCGACTACGGCGTTGCCGACGAACGTCTGCGTGTCGCCGCCGCGTTTCAGGATCTCGATTTGCCCAGCGTCGGGCGGTTGGCGCCGGCTTTGGCACCGCTGACGCAGGCCGAGGTCTCGGTGGACGGGCTGATCGACCTGATCCTGGACGCCGACGGTCGGATAGAGACGGTCGCGTTCGATCTGGCTGCGGGGGCTGGCCGCCTGCGCCTCCCCGCCTTTTATCCCGATCCCCTGCAGGTGGCCGCCATTGCGGCGGTCGGCGCCTATCGGGCGGACCAGAGGCGGATGGCCGTGGAGGACTTCTCACTGCAACTCGGGAGTCAGGCTGCCGCCGGCCCCAATCTGCGGGCACGCCTCAATCTCGACTTCGGCGATGGCTTCCACGACGTGGGCATCGGTGCGCGGGTCGACCGCGTGGCCGTTACGGATCTGGAGCGCTACTGGCCGGCCGAAGCATCGGAAAACGGCCGCGCCTGGGTGCTGGAGAACATTGCGTCCGGCGCAGCCGAGAACCTGGAGGTGGTCGCCTCTCTGCGTCTACTGGACGCGCCGGCCACGTCGCCGGATGACTCGGGTGAGGGCGAGGCGGGAAACGACAGGGTAGGTAGCGACCGAGGAGGTGACGTCGGGCGTAGCGACCCGTTGCGGTCTGGGACATCGCCGGACCCGATACTCGGGAGCTTTCAGGGCAGTTTCGATTTCACCGACCTGGAGATCCACTATAACCGGCCGCTGCCACCCGTGACCGAGGCATCGGGAACCGCCGTCTTCGACAGCGACGGCCTTACGTTTGCTGTGTCGAACGGGCGATTGCAGCAGCTGGTTTTCGAAACAAGTGAGGTGAGGATTTTCGGACTGTCGGGTGAGGACCATCGGCTGTCGATCGATGCGCAGGTCGGCGGCGGTGTGAAGCCGGCGCTGGAGGTGCTCAATCACCCCAGGCTTCAGTTGATCGACAAGCTGGGCGTCCCGCTGACGGGAAGCGGTGGAACCTTCACGGCCCAGGTCGGCTTCGCCTTCCCGCTGATCGATGCGCTGACGGATGATGAGATCGAGGTCACGGCGGCCGCCGAGCTTGCCGACGTGACGCTGCAGGATGCTGTCGCGGGGCTCGATCTCACGGAGGGCGACCTCGTCCTCGATCTCGATGTCCGTGCCATGTCTCTTACCGGCCCGCTGCGCCTCGGCGGCCTTCCTCTGACTCTCGATTGGACCGAATACTTCGAAGCGCGCGATGGCATCCGACGGGAGGTCACGGCGCGCACCGACGCCCTCGACGCCGAGGTACGCACACGTCTCGGTCTTCCCTTGGCGGAGCGGATTCGCGGGCCGGTCGCCGCCGATCTGCGCCTCACGGGCCTGATCGACGAGACGTCGGATGTGGAGATCGACTTGCAACTCTCCGAGGCGGAGATCGACATTCCGAGGCTCGCCTGGCGTAAACCGCCGGGTGTTCCCGGCACTGCGCGGCTGGTCGCCCAGCTTTGGGGGCAGCGCCTGGTCGCTCTGCGCGATGTCGAGCTCTACGCTGCCGATCTTTCGGTTACGGGAGCCGCCACCTTCTCGCCCGACGACGGCAGCCTGATTCTCGCCAAGCTGCGCAACGTGACCCTCGGGGCCACCAGCCTGGACGGTATCACCGTGCGTCCCTGGATCACGCCCGAGGGCGATGGCTGGGAGGTGCAGGTCGCCGGCGGGCGTTTGGACGCCGCCCCCTGGTTGGAAGATGAGGAGGCGTCGGAACAAACGGACGAGACCGCTGCGCCCGAAGCCGGAACGACTCCGGAAGCCGTACCCGAACCGGATGCGCCTCAGACACCTCTGAAGCTTCAGGTCGCGCAGCTGCAGTTTCTGCATCTGGGCGACGACCGCGGCCTGGAGGCTGTCGCGCTTGAGGGAGAGCGCGGAACGCGGGGGTGGGAGCGCTTGAGCGCTTCCGCCGAGCTGCCGCGCGCCTGGTGGCGCCGCAACAGCCGGGTGCGGGAGGGGGATGCCGAAATCCCGCAGAAGCGCATCCGGCTCGATTGGGGGCCGAATCCGCAGGGTGCCGGCTATGACCTGGAGCTGGGCGCCGACGATCTGGGCGCGGTTCTGCGCGTGTTCGGTTGGGTGGACGAGATGGAGGGCGGTCAGACCAGGATCGTGGGACGCAGCCCCGGCCCGCTGCTGTCCGCCCCGATCGAAGCGGAGCTCGAACTGCGCCAGTACACGCTGGTCGATGCCCCCCTGCTCGGCCGAATCGTGGCCGGTGCCTCGCTCGGCGGTCTCGGCGGGATGTTGTCCGAGGACAACGGCATCACCTTCGAGCGCGGTGTCGGAGAACTGGTTCTCGAACAGGGCGTCCTCTCCACCGACCTTCTGCGCGCCTACGGCCCGGCACTTGGCATTACCGCGCGCGGCACCTTGGATACCGAGGCCAACGCGATCGACCTGCAGGGAACGCTGGTTCCGGCCTATGCGATCAACCAGGTACTGGGGGCGATTCCGATTCTCGGACCGCTCCTGACCGGCGGGGAGGGCGAAGGTGTTCTGGGTGTCACCTACTCCGTGTCCGGCTCCCTGGACGATCCGGACGTGAATGTGAACCCGCTGTCGGCCCTCGCGCCGGGATTCCTGCGTGGCATCTTCAGCGGCAAGATCGACGGCAGCGAGGAGGCCCTGGAGGCCTTGCCGCCCTCCGGTGCGCAGCGCTGAGGTTACCTCAGCCGTAAGGAGATTTTTGTTCTTGATTTGATCTTCGCAAAGGCGTTCTCTCCGGGTCATGACCGTACCGACCATGACCGAGGCCGCCCGCGGAGTACTGGCAACGGCGGAGGCGCGCGATAAGGCTGCCGCCGCCCGACGACTGGCGGCCGACTGGCGCAGCGGTGTCCTGCGCGCGCTCGGCTCACCCGGCGCGCCGGCACGTCCCGCGCGTCCCGACAAGCCTTCGCTGTTGGCTCCGACCAAGGTGCCGCGCCGTCGGATCAACACCGGGGTGGCCGGCCGGGTCGCCCTTCTGCATGCCCTGGCGCATATCGAACTGAACGCGGTGGATCTCGCCGTCGATCTCATAGCGCGCTTCGCCTCCGAGGAGCTGCCCGACGCTTTCTTCCAAGACTGGCTTCAGGTGGCCGACGAGGAGGGCAAGCATTTCCTGCTTCTCGCCGACCGTCTGGCGGAGCTGGGGGCGGCCTACGGCGATCTGCCCGCGCATGACGGTCTCTGGCAGGCAGCGGAAGAGACGGCGCACGATCTGCTGGCGCGCCTGGCGGTGGTGCCACAGGTGCTGGAGGCGCGTGGCCTCGACGTCACACCGGCAATGATCGCCAAGTTGGAGCAAGCCGGTGACCCTGCCTCCGCCGCCGTCCTGCGCACGATCTACGAGGAAGAGATCGGGCACGTGGCCATCGGCCGACGCTGGTACCTCTGGCTGTGTGCCCGGCGCGGGCTGGAGCCTCAGGCGACTTGGCACGAGCTGGTGCGGCGCCATTTCCGCGGCGCCTTGAAACCGCCCTTCAACGAAGCGGCCCGCCGGAGTGCCGGGCTCGAGCCGGCCGACTATCTTCCGCTGGCCTTGGAAAGAGAAGTGTCGTGACCGCGAAGATCCATTCGGACGGACGGCCCCGCTGCGGCTGGCTGCCGAGCGGCGATCCTCTCTACCGCAGCTATCACGACGAGGAATGGGGCGTGCCCTTGCGCGATGCGCCCGCGCTCTTCGAACTCCTGAACCTGGAGGGTTTCCAAGCCGGCCTGTCCTGGCGGACGATTCTGCACAAGCGTGAGAACTTTCGCCGGGCTTTCGCGGGGTTCGACGCGAAAAGACTGGCAAGCTGGGGGGACGCCGAGCAGGCGCGTCTTCTGGCCGACGCAGGTATCGTCCGCAATCGGCTGAAAGTCGCCGCAACGCTGGACAACGCCCGGGCCTATCTGGAGTTGGAGGCGGCTTACCCCGGCGGTTTCGCAGATTTTGTCTGGGAGGCTGTCGAGGGAACGCCGCTGATCAACTGTTTTGAGCAGCTCTCGGACGTGCCGGCCGAGACGCCGGCCGCCCGCGTTCTTTCGAAACGTCTGAAGAAGGCTGGCTTTCGTTTCGTCGGCCCGACCATCGTCTACAGTTTCATGCAGGCGGCCGGTCTGGTCATGGATCATACGACGGACTGCTTCCGCTATGCGGAGCTCGCGTGACTGTCGGGCGCACGACCTGACTTGGCGCAGCTTGGCTGAGTGCGGGTAAGGCTCGCTATTCGATCAACTCGAACTGAAGCAGAAGCGTGCGTTGCAGGGGACTGAAGTTGTCGTCGGACAACAGGGTAATCAGCGTCTCGCCCGCCGCTCCTTCGCGCAGCCAGAGCCCCTCCAGATTGTCCACCGCAAGCGGGGCCTTGAGGAAAGCGAGCTCTTCAGGCCGCAGCAGCGCGCCGGCCAAAGCCCGGTCTAGCGGAGCTCGCTTCAGTTTGACGCGGACGCCGCCGATGATCGAGAAGCCGCGTTCGAGCCAGTAGAGATAGCGCAGGCGGGGACCGATCTGGGCGTCTACCGGGGCCAGGTCGGCGTCCTGCGGAATCTGAAAGCCCCGCCACTCAGCGAAGGTTTCGTTGCTGGTCACGAAGCCTTGCCAGGCACGCCTGCCTTCGACCTCGGCCGTCAAGCCTTCGCTGATGGCCAACAGACCGCCGCCCGGAAGCGCAACCAGGGATTCGACCCCTTCGTTCGCCTCCGGGGGATGATGCCCGGGCAGAGCGCTTTGTTCGGGCAGGGCAATCGGCGGCAGTGCGCTGTAGCGGTTGAGCCGGTGCTGGCGTTCGAAAGCGATCAGGACGTCGCCGGTCGGCAGGACGGCAAGAGCCTCGGCATCGCCCCAGTCCTTCAAGCCGGCAAGAGAGCGGCCGTCCGGCTCGCGCAAGGGGCCGAGCGTGGCGTTGCCGGCGGACATCAAGTTGCCGTCACCGTCGTAGTCGACCGTGAAGGATACCCATCGCCCCTCGTCCGAGACAGCGACGGCACGTCGCGCATCCGGCGACATCCAGAGTGCCGAGAGCCCGCCGAAACGGTCGTCTTCGCTGCTCAGTTCCAGACCGCCGCGCCAGAGCAGGCGGCCGATCGATCGTTGCGTCGGGTCATCGACATTCAGCCTGACCGTTTTGCTCCGCAAGGGGATCGGCCGACCTGCGGTGTCTGACGTCACAGCGCCGCCGGAGTCCGCGGACGGCACGGCGACCGGCGAGTCGGCCATGGTTGAAGAAGGCAGAACAAGGGCGCTCAGAAGCAGAACCGCGAAACCGATGGAACACGCCTGTGTCATGCAAGAGCTTGCGGACGCCATGACCGGAGAGATCGCCGAACTCGAACAGAGACGCCCAGGTCGATCACGCTCTAACCCCAAGGCGAACCTGCTCGTTCGCGCGATTCTGCTCTACCCAGCCAGTCGCCGCAAGGGGCCTCGACCGGTCTGAGGGCCTTCCTCGTCGAACAGTTCCGCCAACTTCTCCAGCATGGTGCCACCGAGCTGTTCTGCGTCCACGATGGTGACGGCGCGGCGGTAATAGCGCGTCACGTCGTGGCCGATCCCGATCGCAATCAGCTCCACAGGGCTGCGTCCTTCGATGTAGGTGATGACCTCGCGCAGGTGCTTTTCCAGGTAATTGCCTGGATTGACCGAAAGGGTCGAGTCGTCGACCGGCGCGCCATCGGAAATCACCATCAGAATCCGCCGCTGCTCCGGCCGAGCAAGCAAGCGGTTGTGCGCCCAGAGCAGCGCTTCGCCGTCGATGTTTTCCTTCAGGATCCCCTCGCGCAGCATCAGGCCGAGATTGCGACGTGCCCGCCGCCAGGGGGTGTCGGCCGACTTGTAGATAATGTGGCGCAGGTCGTTCAGGCGGCCGGGTAGCGACGGTTTGCCGGCCGCGATCCAGGATTCCCGGGATTGCCCACCCTTCCACATGCGGGTGGTGAAGCCGAGAATTTCCACCTTGACGCCGCAGCGTTCCAGCGTGCGCGCCAGGATGTCGGCCGACATGGCCGCCACGGAGATCGGGCGTCCGCGCATCGAACCGGAATTGTCGATCAGAAGCGTGACGACCGTATCGCGGAAGTCCGTCTGCTTCTCCATCTTGTAGGAGAGAGAGTGGGTCGGATTGGCGACGATGCGGGCCAGGCGGGCGGTATCGAGCAAGCCTTCTTCGAGATCGAAGTCCCAGGCCCGGGTCTGCTTTGCCATCAGACGGCGCTGCAGCCGGTTTGCCAGCCGCGCGATCACACCCTGCATGTGGTTGAGCTGCTGATCCAGCATCTGGCGCAGCCGCGTCAGTTCATCGGGATCGCAGAGGTCGGGCGCCTCGACCACCTCGTCATGCTTGGTGGAGAAGGCGTGGTACAGCTCGTCTTCGGGCGCGTTGCGGCGGTCGTGTTCCGGGCGGCGGCCCGGTTGGCCGGGCTGTTCGTCGGCGGCTCCGTCCATCATCTCGCCGTCGGCTTCCGCCACCTCCTGATCCGCGGCCTCCGCGTCGGATAGATCGGCTTGCTCGCCGTCGCTGGCCGCGGCGCTTTCACCGCTGTCTTGCTCGCCGCCCTCGCCGCGCATCTGATCCGGAGTCTCTTCCGACTGATCTTCGCCGCCTTCGTCTTCCTGTTCGTCGTCCTCCAGTTCCTCGTCGCTGGTCGCTTCCAGGTCCAGATCGGCGATCATCTGGCGGACGGCCTTGGCATAGGCGCTTTGGTCGCCGATCACCGACTTGAGGTCGTGCAGCTCCTGCAGGATGCGGGGGTCGAGCGCCTGTCGCCAGACCTCGACCAGAGTTCGGGCGGCGGCTGGCGGCGCTTCTCCGGTCATCGCTTCGCGGGCCAGCAGCCGCAGCGCCTCCGACAGCGGGGCTTCTTCGCGCGAGCGGATGCGATCGTATCCCCGCGCCCGGTAGCGGTCGTCCAGAACCGCATCCAGGTTCATGGCGCAGCCCGCCATCCGCCGGGCACCCAGCGCCTCGCAGCGGGCCTGCTCAACCGCGTCGTAGATCTCTCGAGCGACCTGTTCGTGCGGGCGGCTGCGTCCGTGCACCTTTTCATTGTGATAGCGCTGTCTGAGCGCCGCCGCGTCGCACTCGCCGCGGGCCAGCAGCACCTCTTCCAACGGCAGGTCGCGGCTCGGCAGCGGCAGCCGGACTTCGGTCGTCTCCTGCGACTGCGCCGGGGGCTGGCCCGGCTGGCTTCCACTGAATCCGACGGTCAGCTCCGCGTCGCGAGCAATCGATCGCAAGGTGGCTGCGGTGGCGCGCTTGAAGCGCTCGATCGGCGTGTCGGCGGATTGGGTCATGCGAGGACGACCTGGGTCATTCGAGGGCGGCAGGACTCCGCTAGACCAGCGTCGCCTTGACGCCGCTGTCAGGCAGATCGCTGCCGAAGCAGCGCTGGTAGTACTCGGCCACGATGGGTCGCTCGATCTCGTCGCACTTGTTCAGGAAGGTGATGCGGAAGGCGAAGCCGACGTCGTCGAAGATTTCCGCATTCTCTGCCCAGGTGATGACGGTACGGGGGCTCATGACGGTCGAGATGTCGCCGTTGATGAAGCCGCTGCGGGTGAGGTCGGCCAGCGCGACCATGGCCGCGATGGTCTTGCGACCCTCTTCGCTGTCGTAGCTGGTGGCCTTCGCCAGCACGATGTCGACCTCTTCGTCGTAGTCCAGGTAGTTGAGGGTCGCGACGATATTCCAGCGGTCCATCTGACCCTGGTTGATCTGCTGAGTGCCGTGATAGAGCCCGGTGGTGTCGCCCAGCCCGACGGTGTTCGCCGTGGCGAACAGGCGGAAGGCTGCATGCGGCCGGATCACCTTGTTCTGATCCAGCAGCGTCAGCTTGCCCTCGACTTCCAGGACGCGCTGGATCACGAACATGACGTCGGCACGTCCCGCGTCGTATTCGTCGAAGACCAGCGCGCAGGGGTTTTGCAGGGCCCAGGGCAGGAGGCCTTCGCGGAACTCGGTCACCTGCTGGCCATCGCGCAGAACGATCGCGTCCTTGCCGATCAGGTCGATCCGGCTGACATGGCTATCCAGGTTGATCCGGATGCAAGGCCAATTGAGACGTGCCGCGACCTGTTCGATGTGGGTCGACTTTCCGGTGCCGTGGTAGCCTTGGACCATGACTCGCCGGTTGTAGGCGAAGCCGGCGAGGATCGCGAGTGTGGTGTCCCGGTCGAAGCGGTAGGCTTCATCCAGATCGGGCACGTAGTCGCTGGCCTGACTGAAGGCCGGCACCTGCAGTTCGCTGTCGATCCCGAAGGTCTGACGCACCGAGATGGTGATGTCGGGGCCGCCGGCTGGCATCTGATGGCCGGCTTCGGGACCGTGGCTCTGCGTATCGGCGCTCATTTAAAGTCCTTAGCTATCGCGGGTTCGCTTTGCGGTCTCTAGTCTTAGCGTCGGGCCTAGCTCTTCGTCGTTGGCGCGTAAAGGGTCTTCAGCGTCGCGTAGGCCTGATTGACGCTTTTCAGGCGGTCTTCCGCCGCCGGATCGCCGCCATTGGAGTCGGGATGCAGCTGCTTGACTAGAAACTTGTAGCGGATTTTGACTTCGGCCAGGGTGGCCGGTGCGCTTAGATCCAGCTCCGCCAGCGCCAGTTCTTCCTCGCTGCGGGCGCGCCGCCGGCGTTCTGCCCGGCGTCTGCGGGTCTCCTCCCGCTCCTCGGCGAAGAGACCGAAGGGATCCTGCAGGTCCTCGGTCGGATCGCCCCCGGCGAACGACCAGGTCGGGCGATCCCATATCTGATCGCGCCGGCGCTGTGCCTCGATTTCCGTCTCGCTCATGCCGGCGAACCAGTCCCATGACTGATTGTAGGCGCGGACGTGCTCAAGGCAGAACCAGTAGAACACCCCCGGCTGGCTGCGGTCGCGCGGCGCCCGGTGCGTTCCCGCCTCCGGGCAACCCGGATGATCGCAGATCCGTCCTGCGCTGGCGGCCCCTGTCGAGGCGGCCGCTCCGGGCGCTTCCTCGGACCGCTGCGGCTGTTGGGATGCGGATTGCTCCATGATGAGGCTGAGTATGGGAACTGGCCGGGAGCGAAGCAAGCCGGAGGCAGGCTCCGCCGGCGCGGCTTCGGGCCTTTGCGATGCCCGGCCGCTTCTGGATCGCTGACAGGGTGGCCTACCTACGCCGTTCCGACAGATTGACGACCGTCAAACCCGCCAGGATCAGCAGCAACCCCAGGGCTAGCGTCGCGGTGACGGGTTCGTTCAGCCAAAGCGTGGCCGCAGCTACGCCGACCATGGGGACCCCGAGAAAGCCGAGCGAGCTGGTGATCGCCGGTAGGCTGCGGGTGACCGTTAGCGCTGCCCAGAAGCAAAAGGCCGTAGCGATGGGACCATTGTAGAACAACACGGCTGCCAACTCCCAGCTCGGCTCGATGGACTGCAGCGGTTCGGTGACGAACGCAACGGCCAGCAGTGGCGGGAGAGCGAGCAGCATCTGCCAGGGCGCGAGCTGAAGCGGCGACAGGTGCCAGCTGTGGCCGCGGACATGCAGCAGGGCAACGGCCCAGGCTAAAGCCCCGAGCAGCAACAGGCCGTTTCCGAGCAGGACCTCGGCATCCTGCCAGTCGAAGCCGAAGGGATTGAACAGCACGGCCAGCCCGCCGAGACCAAGCAGCCAGCCGAGCATCTTGAGTGGACCCATCCGCTCGCCGAACACAACCATGGCGACCGGTGTGACCCATAAAGGGGTCGTGTAAACCAGCAAAGCGGAGCGGCCGGCCTCGACGACCTGTAGGCCGGTGTTGATGCACGCGAGGAACAAGGCCATCTGTAGCAGACCGACGCTAACGATAACCGGCAGGTCGCGGCGGTCCGGCAATCTCAGTTCGCCACGCCAGAGCAGGACGGCGAACAGTGTGGCGGCACCCAAGGCCATACGGGCGACGCCGAACCAGAAAGGCGGGATCAGGTCCAGCGCAACCTTCATCACCGGCCAGTTGACGCCCCAAAGAACAATCACTGCAATGAGCAGCAGCGAGGCCCGACCCGGGTCGACTGCGGCTGTACCGCCGGGGAGAGGAATTCGCGCCATGACCTGTGACCGGAAGGGTGAAAAAGGGGAAGAACGCGCGCGCGATGGTTTCGCGAGACCGGCACTTGCGTGACGATCCAGAGTCTAACGATCAGAGAGGTTGACTAAGCAATGGCAGACGACGCAGCGCAAGGTGAGATCGCATCCCGGATCGAGCGCAAGCTGACACGAGAGTTCGCCCCTCTGCGGCTACGGATCCTCGACGAGTCTCACAAGCACGCGGGCCACAGCGGTTGGCAGCCGGGCGGCGAAACCCATTTCCGCGTCGACATTGTGACGGCGGCTTTCATCGGTCAGTCGCGGATTGCCCGGCAGAGGCAGGTCTACCAGGTGTTGGCCGAGGAACTGGAGGAGCGGGTGCATGCGCTGACACTGCGCACCTTTGCACCGGAGGAAGATCCTAAAAGAGAAGCGGCTGCTGAGGCCGGATCCTAGGTGAGACGAGCCGCCCCGGATCTCATCGTCTGCACGTTGGAGCTGAAGAACGTGCGTCAAGAGTCTTTCGGGGTTGCGCGATCCGGTGGCTTTCGTCAATTTCGGCGAGTGAAATCTGTGGTGCTGCATGCCCTGGCCGCCAACCTGCCGGTCGAGGGGGCGGCAGCCCACGGTCCGAGGAAATGGGAACACCCGGTCCGAGGCTGAACGAGATGTCCAGAGGTGTTCAGGCGGCAGCGGAAAAGGCAGCCGACTCAAAGCTGCTGTCCCGCAATGTCACGGTGAACGGCCGGCGTACTTCCTTGCGGTTGGAGCGCTTGATGTGGGAGGCGTTGGGCGAAATCGTCCGGCGTGAAGACACTTCGTCGAACGAGTTGGTCACCCGCATCGCGGATCGTCGTGCCGCCTCAAGTCTGACCGCGGCGGTGCGCGTCTTCATCGTCAGTTACTTCCGGGCTGCGGCCACCGATGAGGGACATGCCGGCGCCGGGCACGGCGAAGTTCGTCAGCGCCGCATTTCTGCCTGATCGGCCCCTTGGGGCGATGCGGCGCGGCCATGGTTCGGCACCTTCGGAACAGGCCGTCCGTCTCTCGTCTCCTGTGAAATCCCTCCACGAGATTCCAAGCGGACGTTGCCGATGCGAAGGCGCGCGCCGGAGTGCACCGGATGGACCGCGATTCCGGACCGGTTTGGTGAATGAGAGCCGCCATTCAACGCACGTATGCGCATAAACGCGCATCGTTCCCTCCTGGTGCGGCGGCGCGGCCCCCAGGTTACAGCGCGTCAAGCGGCGCGGACGTCCCCAGGCAACGCACTGTGACCATTGTCATCGAGTACGACAATGAGAACCGGGTGCGCGACTTCGCATACCGGCGATCGCCGTTCCAGAGTGCGGTTTGCCGGCTGTCAGACCAACTCTCGGTGTCAAATGCTTGCCGCGACCGGGTCGCACGTGGCTCTGCCGACAATCCAGATGTACGCCGTCGATACGACGGAAAAGGAGACAACCCTGCGCACGGTGATCGCGACCCTGCAGGATCTCGGCTTCGTCATCGACAAGGCAGACAAGATGCTCGGTTCCGTCAGCGGAGCGAAACTCAATGGCGCCTCGATGCGAATGACCGTAACTCTACGTCCGCGTGGCGAGACCCGGACTCCCGTACGAGCCAACGCTCGATAGAGCAACACCCAGTCGTACCTGACCGACAGTTCTCCGCGGCGCTTGAGAGGTCCATCTCCCTGGCGGCGCAGCAGGCCGACTGACCTGACTGCGTGCCCGGCTTCTCGGTACAGCTCCGCCCGGATGGCTTTCGTCAGCCGCTGATTGCGCTTCGGAGGCAGTTGGGTGCGGCTCTGGTAGCTGGATGGCCTCTCTGCCTCCTTGACCCCACCAACGACCGCTGCCATTTGTGCGGGATGTCAGACACCTCCCCGCAGGCTTCGGGTGCCGGCCCCTGGCACGGCACCACAATCCTTTCTGTGCGCAAGGCGGATCGCGTCGTCCTGGCAGGCGACGGTCAGGTTTCCTTCGGCAATACCGTGATGAAGTCCAACGCGCGCAAGGTGCGCCGTCTACCGGGCAAGGGGGCGGCGAAAGACGGCGTTGCCGGCGACGTCGTGGCTGGTTTCGCCGGCGCCACCGCAGATGCCTTCACCCTGTTCGAGCGGCTGGAAGCCAAGCTGGAAGCGCATCCGGGACAGTTGACCCGCGCTTGTGTCGAGCTGGCCAAGGACTGGCGGATGGACCGTTATCTGCGTCGCCTGGAGGCCATGATGGCTGTCGCGGATGCCGAAACCACGCTGGTTTTGACAGGCACCGGAGATGTCCTGGAGCCGGAGGACGGCATCGTCGGCATCGGCTCCGGCGGTTCCTATGCGCTTGCCGCCGCGCGCGCTCTGATCGACCGAGACGATATGGACGCCGAGGCCATCGCCCGACGCGCCATGCACATCGCTGCAGAGATCTGTATCTATACAAATGACAGCATCACTCTCGAAAGCCTCTGAGGCCGCCGCCGAGCCCGGCGCCACGGCCGCTGCCTTCAGCCCGCGGGAAATCGTCAGCGAGCTTGATCGCTACATCATCGGGCAAGGCGAAGCCAAAAGGGCCGTTGCGATCGCGCTGCGCAACCGTTGGCGGCGCCAGCAGCTGCCCGACGACCTGCGCGAGGAGGTTCTGCCCAAGAACATCCTGATGATCGGACCGACGGGCGTCGGCAAGACCGAGATCGCGCGGCGCCTCGCCAAGCTTGCCCAAGCGCCCTTCATCAAGATCGAGGCGACCAAGTTCACGGAGGTCGGCTACGTCGGTCGGGATGTCGAGTCGATCATCCGCGATCTGGTCGAGATCTCGCTCCACATGACCCGCTCGCGCCTGCGCCGCGAGGTCACGGCCCGCGCCGAACTGGGCGCCGAGAACCGCATCATCGATGCCCTGGCGGGACCGAACGCGCGCTCCGAGACCCGCGAGACCTTCCGCCGGCGCCTGCGCAACGGCGAACTGAGCGATACTGAGGTCGAGCTTCAGATCCAGGACGCGGGCGGCATGCAGCTGCCGACCATGGACATTCCCGGTATGCCCGGCGCCCAGATGGGCATGGTCAATCTCAACGATATCTTCGGCAAGGCCTTCGGTGGACGCACCAAGGCCAAGCGCATGAAGGTCTCTGAGGCCTACGAGCCGCTGATGGCCGAAGAGTCCGACAAGCTGATCGATCAGGAGCGGGTCACCGCCGAGGCGATCCGGGCGGTCGAGAACAACGGTATCGTTTTCCTCGACGAAATCGACAAGATCACTGCGCGCAGCGAGGTTCGCGGCGGCGGGGACGTCAGCCGCGAGGGTGTCCAGCGCGATCTGCTGCCGTTGATCGAAGGCACGACCGTCGCCACCAAGCATGGCCAGGTCCAGACCGACCACATTCTCTTCGTCGCCTCCGGTGCCTTTCATATCGCCAAGCCGAGCGACATGCTGCCCGAACTACAGGGGCGCCTCCCAATCCGTGTCGAGCTGCAGGCCCTGACCCGCGACGACTTCAAGCGGATCCTGACTGAGCCGGAAAACTCCTTGATTCGCCAGTATCAGGCGCTGATGCAGACCGAAGGGGTGACCCTTGAGTTTCAGGACGACGCCATCGACGCCCTGGCCGATCTGGCGGCGGAGATCAACGGCTCGGTCGAGAACATCGGCGCCCGCCGGCTGCAGACGGTCATGGAGAAGCTGTTGGAAGAGCTTTCCTTCACCGCGACCGACCGTACCGGCGACCACGTGACTGTCACGGCCGAAGAGGTGCGCAGCCGGGTTGGCGAACTGGCCAAAAACGCGGACCTCAGCAAGTTCATCCTGTAACGGCAGCTTGCTAGAGTGCGATCGTGTTTGATTGAAGCGGCGTGGCTTCGGTCGAACAGGTGAATCGCACTCTCATCCCATGACTCGGCTCAGGGCTAGCGAAGAATGCCGTTTGCGACTCACACGGAAGAGGTCGCCGCTTCGGTCGCAACCCTCTGGCGGCTGCTGGTCGACAAGATCGAGAATCCCGAACCCTACGTTCCCGGGGTCCGGTCGGTCGAGATCGTCGAGCGGACGGCAGACTACACCGTTCGGCACATGGTCACCGATCAGCTCGATCTGACGGAGCGCATCACGAAAGACGCGCGTCGGCTCGAGATCGTTTTCACGCTGGTCGATCATCCCCGCTATGTCGGCGCGGTCGTCAACCGGATCGAGCCGGGCGGGACCGGAGATGCCAATCGCCTGACCTTTACCATCGACTGGCGCGAGGCCGGCAGCCGCGACGCGGGTGGCGAGCATCTACAGGGCGTTCTCCGCGATGCCGTGCGCCGGACGAAGGCTCTGGCCGAAGAGGCCGAGCCGCGGACTGTCTAGACCGGGGCCAGCCGGACCCAGGCGCCGCCATGCAGGACGCGGGCCGTTGGTTCGCACCGGTTGCGGTTGATTTGTCGCAAGGCACGTTCCCGTCCAGCGTCTCTAGTCTCGCGTCATGCGCAATACAAACGACCTAACGGACTGAGCGCCCGCGATGGAAGAAGTCATCACGGGCTACCTTTTCTACGAGATTGCCGCCATCCTGGTGCTTGCGGCGGCCATCGGCTTTGTCGGACTGCTGGCCCGCCAGCCTCTGATCGTGAGCTTCATCGCGGTCGGTATCCTGGTCGGGCCCAGCGTTCTGGATATCGCCCGTTCGGATCAGCAGATCGATCTGCTGGCCGAACTGGGGATCGCCGTTCTGCTCTTCCTGGTCGGGCTGAAGCTCGACCTGAAGCTGGTGCGCACGCTCGGTCCGGTGGCGCTGACCACGGGCCTGGGACAGGTGCTCTTCACCTCGGTGATCGGTTTTCTGCTGGGGCTCGCCCTAGGCTTGGACGCAACCACCAGCTTCTACGTCGCCGTGGCGCTGACCTTCTCCTCGACGATCATCATCGTGAAGCTGCTCTCCGACAAGAAAGAGATCGACGCGCTGCATGGCCGTATCGCCCTGGGTTTCCTGATCGTGCAGGACATCGTCGTGGTGATCGCCATGATCGCGCTTTCGGCGGCAGGCGTCGGAGCGGGCGAGGAGACCGGGTTCGCCGATATCGCGATGGTCTTCCTCTCGGGTGCCGCACTGCTGGGGGCCGTCGCTTTGTTCGTGCTCTATGCGGCCAATCCGCTGGTCGAGCGTCTGGCGCGCGCGCCTGAACTGCTGGTTTGCTTCGCGATCGGCTGGGCGGCCCTGCTTGCCGCCGTCGGGCACTATCTGGGCTTCGGCAAGGAGCTGGGCGGCCTTCTGGCCGGTGTCAGCCTGGCCTCGACGCCCTTCCGCGAGGCCATCGCGGCGCGGCTGGCGAGCTTGCGGGACTTCCTGCTGCTTTTCTTCTTCGTCGCGCTCGGCGCCGGCCTCGACCTGGGACTGCTGGGCGATAGCCTTCTGCCAGCGATCGTCCTGGCCGTCTTCGTGCTAGTCGGCAATCCGTTGATCGTGCTGATCATCATGGGGGTCATGGGCTACCGTAAGCGGACAGGCTTCCTAGCCGGACTGACCGTGGCACAGATCAGCGAGTTCTCCCTGATCTTCATCGCCGTCGGCGTGCAGTTGGGGCATGTGGTGCCCGAGGCTTTGGGCCTGGTGACGCTGGTCGGGTTGATCACCATTTCGCTCTCGACCTACATGATCACCTACTCCCACCGGCTCTACGCGATCTTCGAGCCCCTACTCGGCGTCTTCGAACGGCGCCGGCCCTACCGCGAGGCCGAGGCGGAAGCCCAGAGTGGCGGCCCCGGCGGGCAGGCCGACGTCCTGCTGTTCGGCCTGGGGCGCTTCGGCGGTGCCATCGCACAGAACCTGACCGACGCCGGCTACCGGGTGCTTGGCGTCGACTTCAATCCCGCCTCGGTGCGCTACTGGCGCGAAAGTGGGCTGTCGGCGCGCTACGGCGACGCCACAGATCCCGAGCTGGTGGGACATCTGCCCCTGGCCGGTGTGCGCTGGGTCGTCTCCGCGGTCCCCGACCACGACACGGGACTGACCCACTTGGACCCGCGTCTGGCGATGATGACCGCTCTGCGCGATGCCGGCTATCGCGGGCGGATTGCCTTGACGGCCCACCGCGCGGAAGACGCCAGGCGCCTGGAGGCCGCAGGGGCCGATCTTGTCCTGCTGCCTTTCCGGGATGCGGCCGACCAGGCGGTGGACCTCTTGCTCGGGGACGACAGGATCCGCACGCCGGACAGGCCGATGCCGGAGCCTGAAGGTCAAAAGGAACTCGCCGATTGAGCCTCTTCCGACATGTCTTGATCGCCTGCCGGGGCGGCGCACAGGACCGTCTTCTCGCCGAGCTAGCCTGTACCCTCGTCGCTCGCGACGGGAAGCTGAGCCTGCTCGGTCTTCTGGAGCTTCCCGAGGGCTTGGACACGCGAGATGCCGAGGCCGAAACCCGCACTGAGCGGGAGCGTCTGGAGGCGAGTCTCGCTGCGGTCGCGGCCGAGCTGCCGGCGACCAGCCTGCCGCAGGTCACGGTCGTTGTCGGACGGCGCTACCTGGAGATCGTTCGGGCCGCCCATCGACTCGGTGCCGATCTGGTGATGAAGTTGACGGACCCTTCGCCGCGTCCGGCGATTCCGCTGTTCGCCAGCATAGACCAGCATCTCCTGCGTAAATGCCCCTGCCCCGTCTGGCTGCTCCGCGATGCCTCGGTCCCTCCCACAAGCGTCGTCGCCGCCGTCGATCTTCCGGATGAGGGAGATGAGCAGTTGGAACTGGAGGGCCTGAATCGGGAGATCCTGAGGACAGCGGCCAGCATCGCCGCCGCCGGGGGGCAGCCGCTGCGACTGCTGCATGCCTGGAGCGATCCCCTGGCCGCCGTCGTGCGCCAGTGGGCCGGCGGTGAGGTGGAGGCGCGCGTCGCGGACTCGACCCGGACCGCGGAGGCCAGGGCGCAAGCGAAGCTCCACGCTTTGGTGGGGGCGGCGGAGCGGTGGCTCACGGAGCAGGGCTTGCCTGAGGTGCGCCTGTCGCCGCATCTGGTCGCCGGCTCGGCGCGCGAGGCCTTACCGCGCGCGGTTGAGGACCTGGGGGCTGACCTACTGGTGATCGGCACGCTCGCACGCACCGGCGTGGCGGGCGTGATTATCGGAAACACCGCCGAAGATGTGGTGAACGCCGTCGACTGCGCCGTGGTCGCTGTCAAGCCGCCGGGCTACGAGAGTCCCCTGCTGCGCTAGGCCAGGGTGATCGCGCTCCGGCAGACGCCCCTTCCCGAGTCCATGCCCTTCGGGTCGACCACCTATGAGTCGGTCCCTAAGGGCCAGATCTCAAGAGACTATTTCATCGTCGGCATCACGAACTCCGCGCCGCTGCGAAGGCCGGTCGGCCAGCGTGAAGTGACCGTCTTCATGCGCGTGTAGAAGCGCACGCCCTCCGGCCCGTGCATGTGATGGTCGCCGAACAGAGACCGCTTCCAGCCGCCGAAGGAATGAAAGGCCATGGGAACCGGGATCGGCACGTTGACTCCGACCATGCCGATCTTGCAGCGGCTGGTAAAGTTGCGCGCGGCATCGCCGTCGCGGGTGAAGATGGCCGCGCCGTTGCCGTACTCATGGCCGTTCACCAGTTCCAGCGCCGACTCGTAGTCCGGTCGCCGCACCACCGAGAGCACCGGCCCGAAGATCTCTTCCTTGTAGATCTTCATCTCCGGCTCGACCTGGTCGAACAGGCAACCGCCCAGGAAGTAACCCTTCTCGTATCCTTGCAGCTGCAGTCCGCGACCGTCGACCGCCAGCTTCGCGCCCTCTTCCACGCCCGAGTCCACGTAGCCGGTGACCCGCTCCAGGGCCTGGCTGGTGACGAGTGGCCCCATCTCGGCTTCGGGATCGCTGTAGGGGCCGATCTTGAGACTGCGCACCTTGGGGGCCAGGCGTTCCATCAGGGCATCGCCGGCGTCGCCGACGGCGACCGCGACCGAGACCGCCATGCAACGCTCGCCCGCCGAACCGTAGGCCGCCCCCATCAGGGCGTCGGTCGCCTGGTCCATGTCGGCGTCCGGCAGCACGATCATGTGATTCTTGGCGCCGCCCAGGGCCTGTACCCGCTTATTGTGCGCCGTTCCCTGGTGGTAGACGTACTCGGCGATGGCGGTGGAACCGACGAAGCTGACCGCTTCGATGTCCGGGTGCCGCAGAATGGCATCGACCGCCTCCTTGTCGCCGTTGACGACGTTGAAGACGCCCTTGGGCAGCCCGGCCTCCATCAGCAGGTCGGCCATCAGCAGCGGTGCGGAGGGATCGCGCTCGCTCGGCTTGAGCAGGAAGCAGTTGCCGCAGGCCAGCGCGACCGGGAACATCCACATCGGCACCATGGCGGGGAAGTTGAAGGGTGTGATGCCAGCGACCACGCCCAGCGGCTGGCGCAGCGAATAGCTGTCGACGCCGGTCCCGACGCTCTCGGTGAACTCGCCCTTCAGGAGCTGTGGTATGCCGCAGGCGAACTCCACCACTTCGATGCCGCGAGTCACTTCGCCGGCCGCGTCGGCCAAGACCTTGCCGTGTTCCCGGCCGATCAGAGTTGCCAGCTTGTCGCGGTTCGCCTCCAGCAGTTCCTTGAACTTGAACATCACCCGTGCGCGATTGAGCGGCGTCGTGCCGGCCCAGCCGGGGAAGGCGTCCTTCGCGGTCTGAACGGCGGCGTCGACCTCCGCCGCGGAGGCCAGGGCGACGCGCTGACTTTCTTCGCCGGTTGCCGGGTTGAACACGGCGCTGCTGCGTCCACTCGTGCCGGCGACGATCTCGCCACCGATGAAATGGTTGATCGTGGCGCTCATGCCGTCCATCTCCTCCCCAATTCGCGTTGTCCGGGCGTTCTGCCGGCGGGTACCGCTTTGTCTTGCCGGCAGACTAAACCGGATTTTGGCGGTTCGGAACCGAATCGGCGCCGATCATCCAAGTTGCCAGCGACTGAATTCTGACGACCCGCAAGAACGAGCGACGCAGCGCCATGACCGAGTTGGAGCGTCTTTCTCTCAAACTGGAGCTACGCCGGCTGTTGACCGAGGCGGCGCGCCACCGAACCACGCTGCGCTACGCCGATCTTGCTCGTGCGGCGCAGGTGCCGGCGCCGCACACCATCCATAAGACGGTGGACTTGCTGGAGGAACTGCTGCGGGAGGACCATGCCGCCGGTCGTCCGCTGTTGTCCGCGCTCGCGGTTTCCCGCCGGGACGACGCCACCCCGGCGCCAGGTTTCTTCCAGCTTCTGACGGAACTCGGCCGCTACGCCGGTGCGGACCGCGGCCGAGATGCCGCCGCTGCCCATCGCCTGGAGCTGGAGCAGGCCTGGACCTGGTGGGGGCGGTCTTGAGGGGGCTCGGCCTTCTCGGGTGCTGGTTCGGTCGCCGTCCGCGTGCTTAACTCCGGCATCGTTTTGCCAAGGGAGTCAGTGAAGCCGGATGGCGGCTGTCGAAGAGTGGCCGAATGAACTGGAGACGGCGCTGCTGGAGGCGGTGCGTGACGGCACGGTCCTGACCCTGCGCTTCTCGGGCGTCTGGGTCACGGCCACAGTCGGCGCGCAGGATGCCAGCCTGTCGGCACTCGACCCGGGCGGCGCGGCGGAAGCGGTACTGGATCTCTCCGCCGTCGAGCGCCTCGACACCGCTGGCGCTTGGTTGGTGGATCGAACCCGGCAGCAGCTTGCCGGGCGGGGAGTGACAGTGCGCCTGTCCGGCGTGGAACCGGCGCGCCAGGCTCTGCTGCAGAAGATCGAGCAGAGGCAACCCTGTCCCGAGCCGCCGGCGCGCCCCGGCGCCGTGGCCTCCGTTCTGGCCGACCTCGGGAAAGCCACCGTCGAGACAGGGCAAACCGTCCGGGAGGTGATCGGTTTTCTGGGCGCGACGGTCGTCATTCTCTTGCGCAATCTGGCGCGGCCGAAGCGCCTGCGCGGGACGTCGCTGGTCTATCATCTCGAGAAAACCGGGCTGGATGCCTTGCCGATCGTCGGCTTGCTGGCCTTTCTGATCGGCGTCGTCCTGGCCTATCAGGGTTCGGACCAGTTGGCCCGTTTCGGCGCGGAAATCTTCACCGTCAATCTGGTCGGCGTCGCCGTACTGCGCGAGATGGGCGTCTTGATTACGGCGATCATCGTCGCCGGCCGTTCCGGCTCGGCTTTCACGGCGCAGATCGGCACCATGAAGGTGAACCAGGAGGTCGATGCCATGAGCACCATCGGTCTCGACCCGGTCGAGGTGCTCGTTCTGCCGCGCGTCCTGGCCTTGGTGATCGCCCTGCCGCTGCTGACCTTCTACGCCAACATCATGGGACTCCTGGGCGGTGCCGTGATGGCGACGGTTGTCCTCGACATCGATCTTCTGACCTTTGCCCGGCAACTGCGAGACGCAGTCGAACTCAGCACCTTCTGGGTCGGCATGATCAAGGCTCCGATCTTCGCCTTCGTCATCGCCCTCATCGGTTGCTACGAAGGCCTCAAGGTGTCGTCCAACGCCGAATCCGTCGGCCTGCGGACCACTCGGGCGGTCGTGGAGGCGATTTTCCTGGTGATCGTGCTGGACGCGCTCTTTTCCGTCTTCTACTCGGTCATCGGCATATGACGGCGGCTTCTGGCGGCAGCGACGGCACGGCGGATCTGGTCATCCGCGCCACGGGCATACGGACCCAGTTCGGATCTCACGTCGTACACGACGGCCTGGACTTCTCCGTCCGCCAGGGGGAGGTCATGGGCTTGGTCGGCGGTTCCGGGACCGGAAAGTCCGTCTTGCTGCGCTGTCTGGTCGGCCTGATGCGCCCTGCGGCGGGACGCATCGAGATTCTCGGAGAGGAGATCGAAGGGGCCGGCGACCCCGATCTGCGCACTCTCCAGCAGCGGTCCGGCATGTTGTTTCAGGACGGAGCGCTCTTCTCCTCGCTGACGGTGGCGCAGAACATCGAGGTGCCCCTGGCCGAACACAGCGCACTGCCGCCCGGGCTGCGCCGTGAGGTCAGCGAGCTGAAGGTCAGTCTGGTCGGTTTGCCGGTTGAAGCAGCGCACAAGTACCCGAGCGAGCTGTCCGGTGGGATGCGCAAGCGTGCCGGTCTGGCCCGAGCGCTCGCGCTGGATCCTGAGATCCTCTTTCTCGACGAACCGACGGCGGGCCTGGACCCGATCGGTGCCAACCAGTTCGACCGCCTGATCCGCGATCTCCAGGAAGCGCTGGGTTTAACGGTGGTTATGGTGACCCACGATCTGGACAGTCTCTACGCCATCTGCGATCGGGTCTCCGTGCTGGTCGACAAGCGTGTTAAGGTCGGCACCATTGCAGAGCTGGAGCGCATGTCCGATCCCTGGATTCAAGACTACTTTCTCGGTCCCCGCGGCCGCGCAGCGGCTTCGGCCAAGCAGTTTGCGGAGCAACCGACCCCTTGAGTGCAAGAACACCAACTTTCGCAGGAGGGGGCGCTTGACCTTCACAACTGGCACAGCGTGCTCATATGGAGCGCTATACCGTCGCGGGTCCTCTTCGGAGATTGGCCTGCCCGACGCGAGCGAGCGGTAGAGGTCGATGGAAACCCGAGCCAACTACGTCCTGGTCGGCGGTTTTGTTCTTGCGCTGTTTCTTGGCACCTTCGCTTTCATCATCTGGCTCGCGAAGTTCCAGGTGGATACGACCTTCCAGCGCTACGACCTCCTGGTGTCCGACTCGGTCACCGGTCTGGCGGTCGGCAGTCCGGTCCGCTACTCGGGCGTTCGGGTGGGCGAGGTTCTGGACATTCGGCTGGAGCCTGACGATCCGGGAACCGTGCGCGTCATGGTCGAACTGGAAGCCGATGTGCCGGTGAAGGCCGATACGACGGCCAGCCTGGAGCTCGAGGGCTTGACCGGTGGGCGCTACGTGCTGCTGCAGGGTGGCACGGCCGGGGCGCCCAACCTGCGCGATCTCGCCGCGGGCGAGGTTCCGACGATAGAGACGGAGGCCTCCTCGCTCGAGCAGGTTCTACAAGGCGTGCCCGATGCGGTCGCCGCCCTACAGGGCACGATGGCTCGGGTCAATCTGCTGCTGAGCGATACCAACCTCCGGAGTATCGAGAATACGCTGACCAGTGTGGAGACCCTGACCACGGCGGTTGCCGACCGCCGCGAGGAGGTGGCGCAGCTGATCGACGATGCCTCCGGTACGCTTGCAAACCTGAACGAAGCCAGCGCTGTCGCCGCCGATCTGGCCCGGGATGCCCGCGACCAGTTCGGCACGCTGACGACACAGACCAACACCACGCTGGTGTCCGTCCAACGGTTGGCGGAACGGTTGGAAGGCGAGGTGGATACCTCGTCCGACAGCCTGAACCAGATGATCGGCGAACTGCGGGGTGCGGCTCGCTCGCTCGACGCCATGTCGGCGGAGGTGCAGGGGCTTGTGCAGGAGAATCGCGAACCTATCCGTGACTTCACCTCGACCGGGCTCTACGAGCTGGCCAATCTCTTGACCGAGGCCCGCAGCCTCGTCACCAACCTCAATCGGGTCTCGCTGGAGGTTCAGCGGGATCCCGCCCGCTTTATCTTCGGAGACCAGCAGGAGGGCTATGAAGCGCCGCGATGATGTTATGCCGCCCGTCCAGTCCCAGCGACGGCGGCTGCTGCGCGCGGCCGGCGGCTTGGCCGCACTGGGCGCGCTCGGCGGCTGCGCCCAGTTGGTGCCGGGTCAGCGCCCGCCGCCCCAGTTCTTTCGCCTCACGCCGAAGAGCACCTTCGAGCCAGACCTGGAGAGGGTCGACTGGCAGCTGATTCTGGAACCGCCGATTGCCAATGCGGCGCTGGACACCGTGCGGATCGCGCTGATGCGCGAACCCATGGAGGTCGAGTATTACGCGCGCGCCAACTGGACCGATCAGGCGCCGCAGATGGTTCAGACCCTGATGATCGAGTCCTTCGAGAACTCCCGTCGCATCGTCTCGGTGGGCCGTGAGTCCCTCGGTCTGCGCGCCGACTTCGTGATCAAGAGCGAACTGCGCGAGTTTCAGGCCGAGTACTTCGACGGTCCGATCCCCTATGCCCATGTCGGTCTGAACGTGAAGCTCGTACGCATGCCGCGGCGCGAAATCGTGGCGAGCGAAAGCTTCGACGTCCGCTTCCCGGCCGAGAGCGACACGCTACCCTCGGTCGTCCGGGCCTTCGACGAAGCCTTGGGAAGTTCACTCCGCGCCCTGGTGCACTGGACCTTGCGTACGGGCCAAACGCTTTATCTGGAGACCGCTACCAGCTGAGGGCCGGTCAAAACTCGCCGCTACAGCTGTTCGCCTTTCAGCAGACGGGGCAGGTCGCCGACCAGGCCCATGGCGTGCTTCATCAGCAGGCGCTTGAGCGGTCCCGCGCGGTCCACGGCGGCCATGCCGAGATCGCGCAGCAGGCGCAGAGGCGGCAGGTCGTTCGAGAACAGGCGATTGAGACCGTCGGTCACCGCGATCAGCATCAGTGTATCCGGACGGCGCCAACGCTCGTAACGGATCAGCGGCTCGGCCGCGCCCAGGTCCAGCCCCAGCCGGCGGGCATCGATCAAGCACTCCGCCAGCGCGGCCACGTCGCGCAGGCCGAGGTTCAGACCCTGGCCGGCGATGGGGTGGATGCCGTGGGCCGCATCGCCGACCAGCACGAGGCGGCCGGCGCGATAGCGCTGGGCATGATGTAGGGAGAGCGGGTAGGCCCAGCGCGGCCCGGTCAGTCCGATTCGTCCCAAGCTGTCGCCGAAGCGGCGTTGGCACTCTGCAGCGAAGCCGGCGTCATCCAGATCGACGATCGCCGCCGCGAGGTCTTTGCGTTCGGTCCAGACCAGAGACGAGCGATGCAGGCCGTCCGTCGAGTCGGTCATCGGCAGAACCGCGAAGGGGCCTGACGGCAGGAAGTGTTCGTGCGCCACGCCGTCGTGGGGCTGCTCATGGCTCAAGGTCGCAACCAGGCCCATCTGGGGGTAGTCCCAGGTCACGGTGCGAATCCCAGCCGCCTGCCGCAGGGGCGAACCGCGGCCGTCCGCCGCGACGAGCAACTGCGCCGAGATGCCACGACCGTCGCCGAGGCGCGCGACGATGCTCCCCGCGCCACGACTCCCGCCGCCCCCTTCCGCTGCGGCCACCCCCGCCGGCGCGATCAGGTTGAGTTTTGGCAGTTCCTTGGCCCGGGCGAAGAGCGCCTGGCGCAAGCGCCGGTTCTCCACGATCCAGCCGAAGGGGCCTCGGCCCAGATCGTCGCTGTCGTAGTGGAGAAACAACGGCGCAGCGCGGCGCCCGACCTGGCCGTCCGACACGCGGATATCCAGGATAGGTTGGGCGTCCGGCCCCAGATGCTTCCAGACGCCGATACTGCGCAGCAGGTTCGCGGAACCGGCGGCGATCGCCGAGGCGCGGCCGTCGTAGGCCGCATCGACCAGGGCTTCGGGCGGCTGAGTGTCGACGACAGCCACCTCGACGCCGGCCTCGGCCAGCGCAATGCCCAGGGTCAATCCGACCAGGCCGCCGCCTGCGACAGCGACTTCCGTCTGCTTCGGTGCCTCGGCAGGGGTCCTTGGTGTCTCGTTCCGAGTTGTCAGGCCAGCCTTCATGGCTGCCAAGATCTAGGCTTGCAGAGACGCTGTCCAGCTTTCGCAGGCCATCGAGGACTGCGACCGATTGCGCTGCTCGGAATCTGACCATCGAGACTTTGCTGGTCAAAATTTAGGCAAACAATGACCGTTCCGTGACCGCTGGAGGCCTGGCCCGGTGGGGCGGTTTTATCCGCCGAGCGCCCTGAGTCGCTGCGGAGTCCTGGGATTCCTGGAGGCTGCACCGCGAACTGGCATGGTTCTTGAAGCTCTCGGGTCGGGGTCAGTTTGCCGGTCGACAGGACCGCGAGCTGCAGTACCGAAGATTGAGAGGCGCCGTCGGCTTCGTTCGCTGGCAGAGGGCGCAAGGTTCGACGGAGACAACAGGGGGAGAGGCTCGATGAAACTGGTTATGGCCATCATCAAGCCCTTCAAGCTCGACGACGTACGCGAGGCTCTCACCGGACTCGGTGTTGAGGGCCTGACCGTTAGCGAGGTGAAGGGCTACGGCCGGCAGAAGGGGCAGACCGAGATCTACCGCGGTGCGGAGTATTCGGTGAACTTCCTGCCGAAGGTGAAGATCGAGGTCGCCGTGACGGCCGACCAAGCCGAGCAGGTGGTGGAAGCCATTCAGAAGGCGGCGAACACCGGCCGCATCGGCGACGGCAAGATCTTCGTTCTCGACGTGAACTCGGTCGTGCGGATCCGCACCGGCGAGACCAACGCCGAAGCACTGTAAAGCAGCAGATCTAATAAGGAGGGGCTAGAGATGCAGCTCTGGCGTAAGTCTCTCGGTTTGGTGGCCTTGGCCGGCGTGACCGGTCTGGCGATGACGGGCCCGGCGCATGCCGAGGTTTCGGCCGAGTCTCAATATGTCTTCAACACGCTTTCGTTCATGTTCCACGGCGTCCTGGTCATGTGGATGGCCGCCGGCTTCGCCATGCTGGAATCGGGTCTGGTGCGGTCCAAGTCGACCGCTTCGATCTGTCTCAAGAACATCGCGCTCTATTCGATCGCCGGCATCATGTTCTATCTGGTCGGCTACAACCTCATGTACACCGACGTCTCGGGCTTCATCGGGTCGTTCAGCCTGCTCTACAACACGACCGGCGACGAGCTGGCTCTTCTGGAAGGCACGGGTGACGCGGCCGCCATTGTCGGCGAGGGCACCTACTCCATCATGTCCGACTGGTTCTTCCAGATGGTCTTCGTCGCGGCGACGGCCTCGATCGTGTCGGGCACCCTGGCCGAGCGTATCAAGGTCTGGCCGTTCCTGATCTTCGTCGCAATCCTCACCGGCATCCTTTACCCGATCCAGGGTTCCTGGACCTGGGGCGGCGGCTGGCTGAGCGAGATGGGCTTCAGCGACTTCGCCGGTTCGACCATCGTGCATTCGGTGGGCGGCTGGGCCGCGCTGACCGGTGCTATCATTCTGGGCGCACGCAAGGGCAAGTATGGGCCTGACGGCAAGGTCAACGCGATGCCTGGTGCGAATCTGCCCTTGGCCACGCTGGGTACCTTCATCCTCTGGATGGGGTGGTTCGGCTTCAATGGCGGTTCCCAGTTGGCGCTGGGGTCTGCGGCCGACGCGGCCTGGATCGCGGTGGT